ATATAATCTTAAAAATGGAACTTACAATTTCCACATATAGCAGGTGCAGACCTGTAAGGTGAAGGTCAGGTTGAAATAACTTCATAAAAGTACAATAACATGCACAAAACCCAGCTAACGTGCTAACAAAATTTGAAACTTTCATAGATTATCAAAAAAGAAGAACAGCATATCCAGCATCTGCATTATTAGCTGAACTTATTTAATTTTAAAGGGTGCAGTATATATACTGTTTCCAATAATGGATCTTTGCTTCCTTTGAACAGAGAAGCATAGAAAAAAAAGAGCAGAATCAGGAGGCTCATCTTAAAGACCATACTGTCAGACATTCTCAGTACGAGTCTCACAAAATACGTTGTGCCTTGATTATCCTAGTGGACCACCACTTACATATGAGCAGTCGTTTGCTGCATCTGCCAAAAAAGCCAATGCATCAACAGATGAGCCATGGTGGTGCAGTAGTTAGAATGCGGTACTGCAGGCTACTTCTGCTGATTGCCTGCTGCCAACAGTTCGGCAGTTTGATTCTCACTGGCTCAAAGTTGACTCACCCTTCCATCCTTCCGAGGTGGGTAAAATGAGGAGCCAGATTGTTGTTGGGGCAATATGCTGACTCTGTAAACCGCTTAGAGAGGGCTGTAAAGCACTGTAAAGCTAAAGCAGTATTAAGTGCTAAGTGCTATTGCCACTGCTATTAAGATCACGAGAAGTGATAAAACCACTCTATACTGCACTGTAATGCACTAATGAGGCCACATTTGGAATACAGTTCCGGTCACCATGATACAAAAAAGGTGCTGAGATCTTAGAAATAGTGCAGAGCAGAGTAACAAAGATGATAAGGAGTCTGAAAGCTAAGTGGTATGATGAACGGTTAAAGGGAACTAGGTATATCTACCTCAATGAAGACAAAGATTAGAGAGTGACATGATAGCTGTCTTCCAGTACGTGAGGGGCTGCCATAGAAAGGGGATGAGTTGTTATTCTTCAAAGCTCTTGAGGGTAGAACAAGAAGCAATGAGTGGAAGCTCATTAAAGATAGGTCCAACCTGGAACTAAGGAGGAACTTTCTGACAATGAGAACAAGAGCCTTGGTACTACAGTGGTTTAAAGCACCCTGTTATTAACACAGCTGCCTGCAATTTACTGCTGGTTCGAATCTCTCCAAGGCTCAAGGTTGACTCAGCCTTCCATCCTTTCTAAGGTAGGTTAAATGAGGACCCAGTTTGTGGGGGCAATAAGCTGACTTTGTATAAATATACAAAAGTATGAAAGCTATTGCTTAACGCACTGTAAGCCGCCCAGAGTCTCCGGAGAAGGGCGGCATATAAATCAAATTTAAAAAAAAAAAATTAAACTATGGAAGAGATAGAGGTTTTCAAGAAAATATTGAACAATCATTTTGTCAGGATGATAAGGTCTCATGCCATTGACCACCCCTAAGGTCCCTTCCAGTTCTAGGATTCTAAATCTAATCAATGTCTTAATCATTATTCAGGAATCCACCTAGATTTTGGAACATAAATAAATACAACCTTTCAACGGCTGAGAATAGCCAGAATGCAGTATTTTGAAATGAGGAAAATATAAGGGCTGTTTTTTCAGGAAGAAATAGCAGATATGACAGGATATAGCTTTTTAAATAAGCCCTAAGGAATGCATTTAGGTATAATGATGTGGCATTAAGTAAATCTCACCATGATTAAAATTGGTTAAATGTTTCTTCTGTTTCCTGCTATTCTTTCCACAATGTCTTTCTTGTCCTGTGGCAGTAGTTTCAGAAGCACATTTGGTTAGCTTGTGAGAACTATGGTTGCCTGGTCTGTCCTTCGACTGTGGCGGTGTGAAGGCATGGTTAGGTGGCTGGATGACTTTTCTTGTGGTTACATGTCTGAGGGGCATCTGTGGCTTTGTTCCAAAGTTTCTCTGTATTTTGTTGTTTTCTGATGAACAATACTTGAATACAACAAAAAATGCAGTTGAAAATGAAAATAATCAGAACGCAAATGATGAAAGAGAAATCATCACCCCGTCTTCTTTCTGTAATAAGATCTGCTTCACTAATCCTCTTGATCTCTCTATATTTGGCATACACAACTCATATGGTCCCCAAGCTTGTTTTATGAGCCCTTGGTTGCCATCAATTTTACCATATGAATAATCCTTATTACAGTTATTAACCAGTAAATTCAACAGAACCTAGCTTAAAGAAAGCAGTAAAAATCCTTACAATTTAAAGTATTTCTAAAACATCAATATGAATGCATAATACAATTTACTACAACATAGTGAGTACAAGTGGCAAGATGTTGGCAAGAGTATGGCAGTGCATATGTGCTGATTCTAGGGTGACATTTGAGGGGCATGGATATGTATAGGTACATGTCATCTATGATGTTTATTCTTATGAATATGCAGTTCCATTTTAATTTACTCTATTTTCTGTTTACAGACCTTCTCCTTTGATATGTGGATTAGGTCTGCATAACTTATTTGGGAGTTTGAGGAGATTCGAGTAAAATATTTTTCCCCGTTTGCTATTTTTATTTGATTAAGTTAGTTTCAGCTTGACAGTCAATTAACTAGAGGAGAAGCTGATTCTCAGTCCATTGTGGATTCTATAAATGTTTAAGGAAGATGGAGATAGTATAAGTAATAAAATACAGCGTTTTCCCGAGAATACGACCTACCCCGAAAACAAGCCCTAACCCGATTTTCACGCCTGCAGCTGATATAAGCCCTACCCCAAAATAAGCCCTAATTAAGCCCCACCCACCATCTTGTTGTATGAGGTGGGGCAAAGCACATGTGTAAAAATCAAGCTAGGGTAGGGGTGGGAGGGTGGAGCTGCCCCAGCGCCCTGCACCTGCTTACTTTAGGACTGCAGCAGCCAGGCCTCCCATGCCCTGACATCTGTTATGTCATTGCCCTTCTGTGGCCACTTGTGGCCAGATGCCACATGGCTGGTGTCCACGGTTGTGGCAGGAAGCTTCATGGTGCATTGCACCAGTGTTGCTGCTTGGAGCCGGATGCAACATGGCACGTTGCGCCGTGCCGCTGCCTGCGCACACAATGATGCAACACACCATGCAGCCTCCTGCCATGAGTGGTGACATCAGCATGATGAGTCATGCAGCGTCTGGCAGTGAGTGGTGAGAGTGGCTGCAGAAAAAGACAGGCGACAGGTTTGGGGTGTGGGATGCATGGTTGCAGTGGTGCTAAGGTAAGCGGGTATGACATCCTACGAAAATAAGACCTGGTGCTTATTTTGGGGCCCAAAAGAAAATAAGACCAGGTCTTATTTTTGGAGAAACATGGTATATTTTGATATAAAACTTCCCACATATGCCATATAACATAAAATTTGCTATAGACCCTTATGGCAGTAAACATATTTTTCCTTCCTTTAGAAAAAAAGAAACTGAGTACAGCTTTAATAATATGATTCTTAGCATTATTGGAGATAGATTGAATTTGTTCACACGCAACATTAGAGTGTTGAAACACTGTACATAAGATATCTAAAAGTTAAAATTTGGCCTCTAGTATTATTCTTTATCTGCCATATCTCAGTCCCCTTTTAGGAGTATGTGCAAATTAGCAGTACAGCCAAGTGAAACAGAGGCAGTCTGGAACAATAGCAAAGTCAAATGAAGTCACAAGATTAACCTTTACTCTTGACAATAATGTTTTAATTTAGCAATACTGGATGGTGTTCTGGAATTGGTTTGTCATTGTGATGAAATGCAGAAAACTTTTACCAGGTATGTATCTTTAATCATACTGTTCAGAATTTATTCTGTTGAAGGAAACCAAGAGACTAGTCAGCCTGAATGAAAAATATTTAAAATTCCTCTTAAAATTCCTAGAACAATGCAAGAGCAAAATATATCCTTGAAAATTAATTTGTTTTTTCCCGGAAGCATTCAATAATACAATGCTTATTAAAACCCTAGGGCAGGTCTGTCAAACTGGCAGCTGCAGGCTGGATTCAGCCTGTGCAGGCCACACCACGCCAGCTCCACAAAGGCAAAAAACATCCCGATATGTTGTGATACGTCCCGCAATGTGATTGGGGTTTGATACTCCTACCATAGGGTAAATTTGTCCTCTGTTTTGAGAAAGAATAGTATCTTGGCAGCATTATATGGTTTATATACAAGCATCAGCAACAATGTAGAAAAGAAGCTCTGCAACAGAAAGATTCCATGGTCATGATCCAATCTGGAAGGTGAGAATGCTCTCTAGGCAACGATCAGGGCCTTGCCACATCTTTTCTAAGATCTCTTCTCAGATGGGAAAAGTCTCTTGATTGGTGGGACTAGAATATAGGTTGTCACAGACCCTTTGCTTTTTTTTCATCACAGACAAAATGGGTAGATGCAAACAGGGCTGAATGAAATGGCTGTCCAATACACAAAATGGCTACACCCAACGAGGGAGGGGAACTTTGAAAAGGCTCTAACTGTCTAAGACAGAGTAGTTGACTCATGGGGTGTCATTGCTTTGACAAAAAGTATTTCCCTTCTTCTTGTTGTGAACATATGCTTCAGAACAAGGACGAAGCCAGAAAGGGAAGGGAACTGTTTCATCAAACCTTCCGAGTCATTGTTTACTAGCCTTGGTTAGAGCTATGAAGCTTGCTTCCTGTGAAATGCTTACTTCTTTTAGGGGCATATTAATGAATAGCAGTTTGCACACACAGCTTGAAGCCTCACTATTACTTCCTTCTTCCTGACTGTTACTGTTCTTTGCACCTGCTTGCCTTGTCTTCGTGTTACTTATATTGTGTGCAGAACAACCTGATATTGTTGAACAGTATTTTTTAAAACTGCCACAGATATTAATGTCTAAAACAACTCTATCCTATATGAAGGTGTTGTTTGTATCTAAATGACCACCTGCATGGACTTTATCATATGTCTTTTAATTGTTCATCAATTGCACAAGAGTTTTTTTAATTTTAATAATTTTCTTGCCCTCCTTTTCTCTTTCTGCAGGGTTAAAGTAAGTCAGGATGGACAGTTTTTACATTATGTTTTCCCATATCAATTCTTGGATTCTCCAGAGTGGGAATCATTACGGCCTTCTGAAGATGGAACATTTCAGGTAATGTTCTTCATAAAATTCAGATTTCTTTATAATTTCCTTCATCTTTCATTTTCTGTTGAGGAGCAAAGAGTGTGAGCATCCAGGAAAGTGTTTGTGTACTTCAACTTGTTTACTATATCTTTGGACATTTGCCTTCGCTCTTCCTGCCTGTAGTACATAGTAAGCTGCTCTTGAAAGAGGAGAAACTTTCCAAAACTCTACTTGCAAAGAAGAAACTAGGCATACTTCAAACAAACCCTAACTGAAGAGATTAGATATTGGTGAGGTCCAGGATTAGGGTTCCTGGGATCTTTTCCACAAATTATTTTTGAATTTTGAATTTCTTAATTGGAATGATTAAAAGAAGGAACATTGCAGCAATATAAACACAAAAACAGCTGTGCTGATCATAAGAGATCAAATCCAACCCCATAATTAAAGTAATACCTTTCTTGGCCAGCTGCAGATTAACACATTGAAAATAATTCCTAATTTGACAAGATGTTTTTACAAAGTATAGCAAGAAAGGAGAAGCCACATTTGTAACCAAAAAAAGACCTTGATCCTGCTGCTGTCCACCAGCTTTGCTGTAAGCCAATTTTTGACTTGGATTTGTCTAGTTTGGCCTCTTGCATTGCTATGTGAGACTCAGATCAAGTCATTCCCTCCCCCCACCCACTATTATTCATATGAGGAGCTGATAAGGAGCCGATGCCCTTGAAGTGATGTCTCGGTGTCTGGAGGCCGTGCGGATCTGGATGGGGAGGAACAGGCTCAGGCTCAACCCATCCAAGACCGAGTGGCTGTGGTTTCCAACGTCCCGATATAGTCAGTTGACGCCATCGCTGACTATTGGGGCGAATCGCTGGCCCCCACGGACAGGGCTCGCAACTTGGGCGTCCTCCTGGACTCACGGCTGTCTTTAGAAGAGCACTTGACGGCCGTGACCGGGAGGATCTTTCATCAGGTTCACCTGATTCGCCAGTTGCGTCCCTTTCTGGATCGGGACTCCCTACACACAGTCACTCATGCCCTCGTTACCTCCCGCCTGGACTATTGTAACGCTCTCTACATGGGGCTCCCCTTGAGGAGCACCCAGAGGCTCCAACTGGCGCAGAGTGTGGCCGCGCGGGTGGTTATGGGAGCAACATGGCGCTCCCGTGTGACACCTCTCCTGCATGAGCTGCACTGGCTCCCGGTGGTCTTCCGGGTGCGCTTCAAGGTTTTGGTTATCACCTTTAGAGCGCTCCATGGCTTAGGACCTGGCTACTTACGGGACCGCCTACTACCACAAACAGCCTCCCACCGGCCGGTACGCTCTCATAGAGAGGGGCTCCTCCAGGTGCTGTCAGCCAAACAATGTCGACTGGCGGCCCCTAGGGGGAGGGCCTTCTCTGTGGGGGCACCTACTATCTGGAACGAGCTCCCCCCGGAGATACGGAGGATCCCGGATCTGTGCACTTTCTGCCATGCTTTGAAGACACTCCTATTCCAGCAGGCCGGCCTGGCCTAATTTTTTCCCCTTCTTTTAAATTTTTAAACTCAAATTTTAATTCGTTTTAAATTATTGGGAGTTTTAAATTGTCTCGGGCAAAAATTATTTAATTGGGTTTTAATCATGTTTTAACTTTTGTATTTATGTGTTTTATTTCGTGCCTGTTCACCGCCCTGAGTCCTTCGGGAGTAGGGCGGTATACAAATTTAATAAAATGAAAATTAAAAATGAAATAAAAGAATTTTGTGGCTTGGCAGGCCATGCTATGTCTGAGCCAGCTGAGGGCTCAGTTGCCTCTAGCTCCTGCATTTTCACAGAATACTTTTTATAAACTGTATAAATGATTTCCATAAATAAGCAGATATATTGAATTATTGAATTCAAGCAGTCAATGATCAAGTCCAAGGCTTTGCTTAGTGCGGGAATCGATATGAAAACTCTCTATTAGATGCTGGTTCAGGTTTTTAAACGTATTGAGCAAAGGGCAGCCTTGACTATTTTGCTCTACTATTAAATTGCTCTTGCCATTAGAAAGTTTCTCCTAAGGCAGAACTGGAAACTCCTTTCCTATAAAAGACCATAATTCTGGGATATGAACCCTGGAACAACAATGAACAGGGCTTTTTCTGTGTTGTACCTTTTCATTATCTGAAATAGTGCTCTCAAATCACTTCTTAGCCACTTTTTACTTGGTTCCTACAATTTTTCTTCATATGTACCAAATCCCTGGTTATCCCTGCTATCCTTTTTTTTTCTTTCTTTCTTTCTTTCTTTCCCTCCCTCCCTCCCTCCCTCTCTCTCTTTCTTCCTCTCCTCTCCTCTCTTTTTTCTTTCTCAAAATTGGAAACAGTACTGTACCTGGGATCTGGCAGTAGAAACTATCAGTTCTTCCCCTTCTGATGATTTGGAAACAATATTTCAATTGATGTGTTTTACAACTGATTTTTCTGTTTTAGTACTTATATCCTGCTGCTGACTTATATTCAACTTTTGATCAACCACAATTTCATAATCCTTTTAGGAAGCCCCCATCTCATCTGCACATTTGATTGCAATATCATATACTCAAAATAAAAAACCCTAAAAATAATTTGTCATTATTTTAATTTCACTGTCCACAGACTCATCAATTTATTTAACAATAGTCATGGCTATTCCTACTGTCATTGACAACTAATTTAATAAGAAGCATAATTAGAATCCTTCTCCTGTTGTATGCTGCCTTCAAGCAATAAGAGGCCCTGCCTGCGCACATTGGCAGTAATCTCATAAAGTACAGGAGGAAGGAAAGGTCAACAATGTGTTGTTCCTTTCCACAAAAGGAAATAAGACAAATGCTGGTGCAAAATAGCTTTCTTGTTTGCAAGCTTTCAGGGTAGAGAGACTAGGGTGGAGAATGGAGGGAATAAAATGTAATAGTTATAGAGAAAGATGCCATAGTTACTGCTGAATTTTGGCAGCAAACCTCAGCAAGTAAAGATAGAGGAAACTTATCCAGGCAATCCATAAGCCTAGGAAAGAAAAATAGAGGACTTTTTGCAGGACTAGATATAAGCAAAAGATTGGCAGAAAAACATTATAAATATGTTGTACAGTTAACATATGATTGACCTCAAAGATGTGTGACTGTGTGTGTGTGGGATAGTTCAAGCTATGTATGACCTGTGGTCTGTGGGTTACTTTGCTGTATTCTAGAGTGCCAGTTGACACATTTCCTTCGTTGTCACACCATCCAGTCCACAATTAGCAACTGGCTTGCTAATTGGAATGCCATGATATCAACACTTTGTTGAAATGAAGATAGATTGCTGAGTATTCCCACATCTTCTGAATAGTTTTTATTCCAGAGCTATAATTGCACTCAACAATGAACTGAAGGCCACTATCAGTGAGCTGTTGGACAGCATTATGGTACTTGGTCTGCTGTGTGGATGCTTGGGTGGTTTAGGGGTGGGGATGTGTCTGGGGATTGTCATGTACGTTGGGCTTGGTCTCTGGGTGTTATGTGAATTTCGTTGTATGGGTATACTGTACAATGACAATAAACTTTACATACAAAGAACCAGGCTGAAGACCTGGTTCTGCCAGCGGGCCTGGGGAACACAGAGTGGGATGGAGCCCATTAAGTGGCTCATATGATGTGTTGTCGCTGAAGCGGCGGGGTGGGGGATTATTTTATTTTTTTATATTTAATTCTCTGTTTTATTGTTTTTATATGACATTTTTATATTCTTGTAAGCTCACTTGAGTCGCCATGTGTGAATTAATATCAATCAAATGAATAAATAAACAAACAAAAAACAAACAAATTTGGAGATTTTCTAGGCCAACCCACTGATCAAGCAGGAGACCCTATACCAGTGATGGCTAACCTTTTCCGGACCGAGTGCCCAAAGCGCACATGTGAGCGCGCAAATACGCATGTCCGTCCCAAACCCCCAAAATGTAATGTGCGCATGGTCCCCTGCAAGCGCCCTCCACACATGCTTGTGTGCCCCCCTGCATGCACTCTGTGCATGCACGCACGCTCCCCCACATGCCTGACTTCCACACATGTGTACGTGGCCCCTGTGTGCTCCCTGCACATGCGTGGCAGAGATCCAAAGACCAGCTGGCTAGCGGGAGGCACACACACATGCGCAGCAAAGCTGGACTGGAGCAATGGCTTGTGTGCCCACAGAGAGGGCACTGCGTGCCACCTCTGGCACGGATGCCATAGATTCGCCATCACGGCCCTATACCATTTTAGACAAATGGCTGTCCAGTTTCTTCTTAAAAGCCTCCAGTGATAGAGCACCCAAAACTTCTGAAGGCAAGCCATTCCACTGATTGATTTTTCTCATAGTCAGGAAATTTCATCTTAGTTCTAGGTTGCTTCTCTCTTTGATTAGTTTCCATCCATTGTTTCTTGTCTTGCCTTCTGGTGCTTTGAAAATTAGTTTGACACCCTCATCTGTCTGGCAGCATTCCAAATATTAGAACACTGCTTTCATGTCTCCCCTAGTCTTTCTTTTCATTAGACTAGACATACCCAATTTCTGTAATCAGTGTTCATGTCAGTCAAAATCCTTTTGGATCTTGAGCTTGTACTCTGGGGTGTTGCCTATTCGTACCACTTACAGTATTGTCATCTCCAAATTTGATGACTTCCCCTTCTATTCCCTCATCTAGATTGTTCAAAAAGATATTAAAGAGAACTGGGCCCAAAATGGAACATTGGGATTCCCCACCGCTTACTCCCCTCCATGTAAATGTAGTTCTACTGAGGATTACATGTTGAATATGACTTTTTAGCTAGTTACAAACACTTCTGGTGGTGGTGCTGTCTATCTCACATTTTTCGAGCTTGCCAAGAAGTAGATTGTGGTCTACTTTATGTGTCAACACTATGTGTTATGGTTCTGAGTAATGGCCCCAATCAGTTCAGGACACTGAGGCTGTGGCTTCTCTCAACGATCCATTTTATTGGGTACATCATATTGGCACATTCAAATGTGAAACCAACTCTAAATATTTCCCATGTTTTCAGTATAATAAGAGAAATAAATATCACCCATCCCCCTAGTGTCATTGGTCACATTAACCAGCCAGGTAGATGGTAGGCTACTCAGCTACTCCCTCCGGCCATTATGAACACTTGTTGAGACAACCTTGATTCCCATGGGCCTTATTGCTGTTATGTCTGGCACCTGGAAGGAAATTATCCCACACCCCAGAGCTCCCCCTCACCCCATATGTATGGCAACTAAGAAACTAAGTAAAAAGGATATTTACTTCAGCTAAAGTTATTTTGAGAGTTGACACTATGTTAATAACATTTCACTGATCCACTAATTTAGTCACTTTGTCAAAGAATGAAATAAAATTTGTTTGTCGATCTGTTTTTGACAAACCCATATTAGCTTCTGGTTTTAACTTTGCTTCTAGGTGTTTGCAGATTTGTTGCTTGATTATCTTTTCCAAGATCTTCTCTGGCATTGATGTCAGGCTGATTGGTTGGTAATATCCTGGATCTTTCCCCCCTCTCTCCTTTTTTTTGAAGATGGGAACTCTTTTCCAGTCCTCAGGTAGTTCCTCATTGCTCCAAGAACTTTGAAAGATGTGGTTCAATGGTTCTAAGAACCCACCTGTCAGTTTCCTCAGAACTGTGGGATGTAATCTGTCAGGACCAGTGATTTGAATCTGTCTAGCATTGACAGGTGCCATTTTAATTTGCATTCCTAATCTGTCTTTTATGGTTCTGTTTTTGATAAATTGGCTTGTACAGATGCAAAAAGTGAATTAAGCAATTCTGCTTTCTTTCTACTCAAAGTTACTTTCTTACCATTTTCTCCTATTATTGGACCTATGGTTTCTTTGACTTTCTTCTTCTTTTTTATGTGTTGAAAGAAACTTTTATTATTATTTTTGACATTTGTTACAAATTTGGCCTATTAGTTGGTATTCTGCCTTCCTTATGTGTCCCTTTCCATTTTTTTTGTACTTATCCTTTTTTTCTTTCAGTTTATCAGAGCGTTCTTTGTGCAACCATGTGGTTTTTCTTGGTTATTTTCTTTTTCTTTTTCAGTGGGATTGAGCTGGATTGGGTTTTTATAATAATATTTTTCAGAGTTTCTCAGGCTTCTTGAGTTGATTTCCCCTTTAAAAATTTCATCCATGGGATTCTTCCCCACTCTCTCTGAGTGTGTTAAAATCAGTTCTTTTAAAGTCTAAGATATTGGTTTGATTATGTTCTGTTGCTTGTGTCTGCATTATATTGAATTCTAATATGACATGGTCATTACCCCTAAAGTTTCTGTCACTTCAATCCTCTCTATCCCTTCTTCTCTGTTAGTAAGAATAAGGTCCAGTGTGGTTATCCCTCTAGTTCCCTCCTCTTCCTTTTGGGTGAAAAACTTATCAGCTAGGTTGGTCAGGAATCTGTTTGATCTCCCACTTGTTGCAGAGTTTGTCTCCCAGTTGATTTCAGGGTAGTTAAAATCTCTCATTACTACTATAGTATGTTTCCTACATACATTTGTTAACTGATTAGCAAAAAGTCCATCTATTTGTTCTGCTTGGTTGGGTGGCCTGTAGTATATGAAATTATGTGATTAAATAATCACATAATCTGATGTGAAATTGATAGCTCTATACCTCTTTGGATCTATTTCTTTTCCTTTTTCAAGATGTAAATAATATTTTGTTCAGTCATTTAGTACTTCAAGAATTCTTTCATATCTCTCACAGAAAACTTCAACCAGACCATCAGAGAGTTTCTTCAATATCTTTGTATGTGGTTTATATGTCCCTGGGGATTTTAAACAATACACAATTCAACTGTGGAATTCATTACCATGAGATTGGGTTCTGGCTAATAATTTGGTGGCTTCAAAAAAGGGTTGGACCAATACATGGAAGTCAAAGCTACTAGCCTTAATGATGGTGTGACTATTTCTAAAGACCGTCTGCTGTGAGACTGGTGGGGTTCCTCCTGCCTTTGGTATGGCACTGTGAGAACAGACTAGATGGGCCAAGGGAAACTGCCCCAGCTGTGCACTACTTATGTTCTTATTTTTCCTCATTCAAAATAAAGAGATGCTCTCTATGCTTCCCTTGCTTTTGTCAATCTCAAAGATCAATCCACTTTCCCAATGTAACTGAGCTTTTTAAAAGTGCAAATGTAAAAATACATTTGCAACAAACCTTATACATTGTGTTCCAAGCTCTTCAGGAAATACTTGAGCAATGTATTGTAAAAACTCATTTTCAAAATTGATAATGCACACAAATAAACAGTATATTAAATATGAATTTATTTCAAAATGTGCATTTCTTGTATATTTGTATAATAAATCTAACAAAATGTGAGGTAACACAGTGACTACATTATTCTTAAAAACAAACAAATGAACTTTTTTCTCTTCTTTCTTTGACAGGTAACTTTGACAGCCGAGATTGACTCCTCTTTTATCACTTGGCAAAGGAAAAAGCTCTATTTGCTTCTGGCTAAGGAGCGCTATATTGCCCGTCTCTTTTCTGTCCTCCTTGGCTATGACATCTCAGAAAAGCTCTATGCCTTGAATGAAAAGCTTTTTGCTAAGTTTGGCCTTCAGTTTGACATCCGCTTACCCAGCCTCTATCATGTCTTAGGACCTGCTTCAGACACAGAGGTGGAAAAGGCAGAGTATGAAGAACCAGTAATGCCTGTAGGTGGTTCACCTGCAGTTGGCCAAACAGCTCCTGTGGTTCCTTGCACTGTGTCTCATTCTACTCATCCTAGGAAATCTCGGCCTGACAGTGACCTGTCTGGTGAGGACTCTACCAGTCTTGTATTGGAAGATTTTGCTGAGTTGACAGGGTCTTTTATGGACTATATGAGTGAAGGGGAGTATTTGAAGTGAGTAAACATGGGCACACATCACCCTGGATAAGTAAGTATTCTTTGTGCCTTTAGAAAGAAACATATCTAGATATGCAAGGAAAGGGTGACTGATGTATCCAGCATACCGATTGCTCCTTAGAACCTGCAGTATATCAATTCTTAATTCATTTGCTGAGGAAAAGTGCTTTAGGTCATGGCTTTGTCAAACTTCATCTCATTTTTTTAGGAAGAACAACTAGCTTCCTTACAGCATGACTGTAAGAATGCTGTTGACATAATATATCTTGATTTCAATAATGTATTTAACAACATACCCATGGCATTCTGCTTAGCTAATTAATTAAATGTAGGCTAAATAGTTTGAGAATTAGTTCAATACATTGCTAGCTCAAAAACTGAACTCAGATAATGTTCATTAATGATACTTCATTGAATTAGAGAGAAGATACTACTTTGAGTGCCATGGGGTTTAATTCCAGGCATGTTACTCTTCAACATTTTTATTAGCGATTTGGATGAGGTGGAAGGAATACTTATTACATTTAGAGATGATATAAAATGATATTAGGCTTGTATGAAGATGATCTTAGATTTACTCCATTGACATTATTCATGCTATGAAGCAACAGTATTCACGTTGTCAAAGCAAAGACCTGACTTGATTCACCTCAATAAAACTGTTCAAATGCTTTGGATCAGTACTGATCTCAGCCTTCTCTTCTGGTACTGGTCAAAGTGCTCCACAGCTCAGAGGCTTTAGGGTTGCTTATAGCATGTGCTGAAGCTGGTCAGCCTAGAAGACCTTCAATGTACACCAAGAAGGTTCTAGGTTGATCACTTGTAGTGTATGCTGAGAGATTGCCCACAGTGCATACCAGAACGACAGAGCTTGGAGTATCTTTCCTTGAAAGAAGTCTGGAGGAGACAAGTGGCATCTCCTTTATGGCTCACTGACAGAGAATTTACTTGGATGATTTGGACCAGCTGGTATATCATAGGCTATGAGTCAGGGGTGGGTTCTAAATTTTTTTACTACCGGTTCTGTGGGCATGGCTTATTTTGTGGGTGTGGCTTGGAGGTCATGTGACTGGGTGGGCGTGGCTAGCTGGTCATGTGACCGGCTGGCCATGGCTATGTGTATAGGGACTACTCAGAGGGCTGAAAAAAATCATTTCTGACAGGTCTTCGCACTTTTGACTGGTCCTCACACTTATGACCATTCTCACATTTATGCCTGTGCAGCGTTCTTAACAACCATGTCACTCATTTCACAACTGCTTCTCTTCACCATGGTGACAAGATAGGGCGAAAAACGTAAAATGTGAGGACAGTCGTAAGTGCAGGGACCAGTCAAAAATAACTTTTTCAGCCCTCTGAGTAGTCCATATACACAAAAGGATTCAATTATTTCTTCAAAGTGCTGATAATTGTACCCTGACTGGAAGAACTCCAACAGGGGAGTATTTCCTCCCAACAGCGGGGTAAAAAGCTTAAAACAACCCTTCCCCTTTAAGAAAGTCAAGCAAAAAAATAGCCTCCGGAACCAGACAGTAAGTCTAGGCATCTGCCGGAGACGCAGTTTCTGTAATAAAGATTAGGCTAGGAAACAACACCAAATGTTGTAATTAATCCTTACAGGATTAACCCTGTAAAGTGGAAAAAAAACGAAAGGAGATTTCTTTTAACAACTGGTTCTCCAAACTGCTTAACTACTTAACTACTTAACAACTGGTTCTACCGAAGTAGAATCCTACTACTGGGTCTACCCATTTATTTTTTCAGGCATCGGTCTACTCATTTATTTTCTTTTAACACTGATCAGCTGTAGGGTGGCCCTTTGAAGCCCCGCGGCAAAAGTTTAAACAGTTTTTTTCCCTCTAGCCATCAGGTGGGACTCAGGAGGCAGCAATAGATTGGGGGTGAGGCCAAATAAAAGGTAAGAATAACCCGTGGGGGCGGGGGGGGGGCAGAACCGGTTTGGTGACATCATATTGTCACCGCTACCAGCTCAGCTGAACCAGGCCGAACCGGGAGGAACCCACCACTGCTATGAGTCAGTGAATATGGTCTTGAATCCTGAGGAAAAAGCAAGAATTCTATGATACAGATAAACAAACCTTGCTTCCTGATGTAGAATATTCCACAATTTAAGTTCAGCACTAACTTCTCCCTTTCTCTTTTTCATGTGAACTGAGCCTGCATCAGTTGAGATATTAAAAAAGTCCTCTTTGTTAAAACCTAAAATATGGATTTGTGGCATAAAAGCAGACAGTCTCCAACTTTCTTGCATCTGTGTCCTTCTCAGCTTTAAATACATAAATCCAGTTGAATCTGCTGAAGAATACACCGATAATCAGTGCAGGGATCATTTGGAATCATGCCCAGTTGCCATGAAATCTTGCAGTATCCCTTCACACAGTGCCCATCCTAAAAAGGGGGAAGGAATGGATTTTTGGGTGAATAATATAACAGATTCACTCTTCTGTCTATGTGTTTGTCATCAAGAAGATTGAATTACACCATCTCATTTTTCATTGGTGGCAGTAAGACTAGGGATTTTTTCTATGATACTTTTGTCATATTTATCTCTGTCAACCTTAATATCTGTTTCAAAAATGGTTAGAATTACCATATATTTCGGAGTATAAGACGCACCGGAGTATAAGATGCAGCTTAGTTTTTGGGGAGGAAAATAGGGGAAAAAAATGTGCCTACCAGGTATTCATCTGCCTAGCGTCTTCAGTCTGGTCAGCTTCAGCACATTAGTGTTATGTATGTATCTATTTTGTGTGGGAAATTCAAATGTACAATGAATCCTGATTGGTTCTTGGTCGCCTCTGGAAAGTATATAAAGAGGGCTGCTGCCTGTGAGTTTTTGCTGAAGTCTCACCCTGAATTAAAGAGCTGTTGTTACTAGCCTGCTTGTGCCTCTCATTATTCCCACGCTACAACATTGGCGATGAAGGTGGGATAGAGGACACAAGAAGCAACCCCAAAAGAGCTTAGAACTTCAGCCAGGGTGACTAGCGAACACGGAGACATGGCATGTCTGCCTACGTTCTGCCAAAACCCTTCGACCCGACCCGAGAGAAGTGGGGATCGTATCTGACCAGGTTTGAGTGCTCCCTAGAAGCGAGCGAAATGCAAGGGCTCTCGGCGAACAGGAAGAGGGCTCTGTTCTTAAGCCACTGCGGGCCAGGCGTATTCGAGATGGCCGAATCCCTCTGCGAGCCAACCCCAGTCCAGACGGTTCCCTAGGACGTCCTTCAGGCCAACCTGAAGGCCCACTATGCTCCAGTTCCGTCCAAATTTGTTCAGCGCTACGAACTCCGGCAAAGAGTTCAAAAAGACGGAGAGCCGGTCAGTGCTTATGTGGCCACGCTTCGAAAAGCCGCAACGCATTGTGACTACAGAGACTTAGGCGACGCATTGCTTGAACAACTGATTTGCGGAGTTCGAGACACCCGGTTGCAAAGGCGTCTTCTAGCCAAGCCAGACCTAACGCTAGCCGGCGCGCTAGACGAAGCCCGAGTACACGAGGCATCAACGAAAGCGTCAGAAGCACTGCAGCGTCCCAGTTCAAGAAAGGACGGGCCAAAAACAGCCCCCGTCCACAGAGAAGAGGTGCAAACTAGCACAGAGGAAGAGTCGGATGAGGACGTCTTCCACACCGAAAAGAAATCGAGCGAACAAGGCCGCTGCCACGAGAACTGCCCTAGCTGTGGCGGAGATCACGAGAGACAGTCGTGCAAATACAGAGAAGCCATTTGCAGGTGTTGCGATAGAAAAGGCCACTTAGCACGAGTCTGCAGAGCTCAACTTCCGCGTAGTCGAAAGCCACGTGACAACTGCGACCAACCAGAACTGGCTCGTTCAAAACAACCAATCAAAGATGACGGCGCGAGAAAATGGCGCGAACCTCAAAAGCGGGAGACCTACAGCACGAGAATCGGCCAAGCCAGCACTACCGACGACGAGAAGGTCTACACGGAAGTAGAAATCGATGGCAAATCGTGCGAAATGGAGATCGACACCGGGTCTACGTTATCGATCATGTCCTGGTCAACACTCAAGGCACTCCTGCCCAAACTCCAGAAGAACCAGCTGTCCCGACAGAAAATCCGCCTGCTCGACTATCAGGGCAACCGAGTTCCCATCGAAGGCGTAGGCACGTTCCGGGTCACCTATGGCGAGTTCCAGAAAGAGCTGCCCCTGACCTTCGTTAGCAAGCCTCTACCAAGCCTACTGGGCATGAAATGGTTCCGGGCCCTCGGCATGGGCTTCACGGGCGTACACAACATCAATGGATCATCACTCAAGGAAACCCTGCTTCACGAGTTTCGGGACGTTTTCGAAGAGACTCTAGGCAAGTACGTGGGGACCCCTATTTCTTTCAATTTAGACCCCAACGTAGCACCAATTAGACTGAAGGCAAGGCGAGTTCCCTTTGCCTTAAAGCCCAAAATCGATGCGGAGCTCGACAAGCTCATTAAGCAAGGGGTGCTAGTTCCCGTGGATCACGCTAAATGGGAAACCCCAATAGTTACACTGGGGTTGGATGGCTAAATTAGAATTTGCGCCGACTATAAGTGTTCGATTAACAAGGCGTTGCAGCAGAGCGCCTATCCGGTTCCAATAGTCCACCATCTACTACACTCCCTGGGCCCTGGCAAGCTATTCGCGAAGCTAGATCTTGCGCAGGCGTACCAGCAATGCCAGTAGATGACGCTACGGCAGAATCACAGACAATAGTAACTCACAGAGGTGCCTTTAAATGCACCAGGCTCCAGTTTGGGGTCAGCATCGCCCCGGGACTTTTTCAGAGTACTATGGAGCGCCTCCTACAAGGCCTCCCAGGTGTCGTTCCGTATTTCGACGACGTTTTGATTAGTGGACAAGATGAAGTTCAGTTGGGCCAAAGGGTTAGACAAGTCCTAACCAGATTCAGAGAAGTGGGACTTAAACTCAAACGAAATAAATGCAGAATAGCAGTGCCTTCAGTAGAGTTCTTAGGCTACAGAATCGACGGCACAGGCATCCACCCCACAGAAAGCAAAGTGAGGGCCATCCAAGGCGCACCCACCCCCAAGTCCAAGTCTGAGCTGCAGGCCTTCCTGGGCCTTCTCAACTTCTATACAATGTTTTTGAAACACAAAGCCACCGTTGCGGAGCCTCTGCACAGGCTCCTTGGAAAAAACGTTCCGTGGGTTTGGGGCAAGCGAGAAGCGACCACTTTCAATGCAGTAAAGAGACTTTTGTCCGAGGACAGTTTCCTCATTCAATACAACGCTGAACTGCCTCTAGTGTTAGTCTGTGATGCTTCCCCCTTTGGCGTCGGCGCGGTTTTGGGCCATAGACTGCCGAATGGGTTAGAGGCGCCCATCGCCTATTACTCTCGCACTCTGTCTAGTGCTGAAAGGAACTATAGCCAGCTAGATAGGGAGGCACTAGCGGCTGTTGCGGGGGTCAAAAAATTTCACGAGTATTTGTTTGGCCGTACCTTTGAACTCATTACAGACCACCAACTGCTTTTGGGACTTTTGGCTGGCGATAAACCAACCCCGGCGGCTCTCTCCCCCCGGATGACCAGGTGGTCTATTTTCTTGGCCGCTTATTCGTATAAGCTACTCCACCGTCCGGGCAAAACCTTAGGACATGCTAACACCCTCAGCCGATGTCCCTTGCCCGAACTATTGGACAACCCAACCCTGGAAGCCCCGGTTTTACTGCTTGACATTGTTTCCCCGAGCCCCATCTCTTCGAACGAGGTGGCGAGGGTTTCTGCCAGGGACTCTGTTTTGCGAACAGTAATGGGCTGGGTGACGAGGGGTTGGCCTACCAAGGTGGACGGTGGTGATTTCCAATTGTATTTTAACAAGAAAAATGAACTGTCAATGTTGGGGGGCTGCTTGTTGTGGGGTGACAGGGTGGTTGTTCCTTCACGATTAAGGCACAGGGTTTTAGAAATGCGGCATGAGGGACACCCTGGGGTGGTTCGAATGAAAGGCCTAGCTCGAAGCTATGTTTGGTGGCCTCATCTAGACCAAGATGTCACTGAGTGGGTGGGGAAGTGTAGGTCCTGCCAGGACTCCCACCCGGATCCTCCCATAGCGCCCATTTGGGAATGGGAAAAACCAAAAGGACCCTGGGGGAGGATTCACATTGATTTCGCTGGCCCATTCCATGGTCAGAACTTTTTAATCATTGTAGATGCATATTCTAAGTGGCTCGAAATTGCCTTAATGCCATCTACCACTTCTGAGGCTGTAATCAAAGTTCTCAGAAAACTATTCACAGCACACGGACTGCCGGACACTCTGGTATCCGACAATGGGCCCCAATTCACGGCAACTCAATTCGAAGGCTACCTAGCCGAATTAGGCATTAGACATGCATTATCCGCTCCTTTTCATCCGGCTTCTAATGGCCTGGCTGAAAGATTTGTAAGAACGGCCAAAGAAGCCCTCTCCCAACTCGATGCAGGGGACTGGCAGGCTAGGATAGATGAGTTCTTAGCAGTACAGCATGCCACCCCATGCCCCACTTTGGGCCGCAGCCCAGCCGAGCTTCTAATGGGCCAAAAACTACGATACGTGCTAGACAGACTGCATCCTAATTACTCCTCCGATAGCTTCATCGGGGAAGGGGGAGGACTAAGGCATTTCGAAGTAGGTTCCCCAGTTTTTGCCAGAAGCTACACTAATGGGCCCTTATGGGTAGAGGGAACCATCGTAGGAATTACCGGTCCAAAATCATACACAGTTGATATAGGGCATGGTAAAATCTGGAGGAGACACATTGATCAGTTGCGCAAACGTTTACCAAACGAAAACTTGTTTCCTAACTATCCAAGTCTTCCTGACACAGCTACCTCAAGCCCGAGTAAGCCGGAATACTTATCTGGGAAGCCTGAGTTCCAGTGCCGCCCCAGCGAGCCGACATTCCCAGCCGGAGATAGCCACACCTCCGGAGAAATCCAGGAGGTTCCATTGGCGGAGCCGGGAGAGACGGGAGGTCCCTCCGACCGGCTCGACGCCTCACTAACAACTGAACTGCGCAGGTCAACCAGGATTAAGACACACCCTGGTCACCTGCGTGATTTTGTATGTAAATATGTAAATAGATAGAATAAGTGCCTTCTGGGAGGGGAGGGGTGTTATGTATGTATCTATTTTGTGCGGGAAATTCAAATGTACAATGAATCCTGATTGGTTCTTGGTCGCCTCTGGAAAGTATATAAAGAGGGCTGCTGCCTGGTGGTTTTTGCTGAAGTCTCACCCTGAATTAAAGAGCTGTTGTTACTAGCCTGCTTGTGCCTCTCGTTATTCCCGCGCTACAACAATTAGTTTGCCGGCTTTGAGTGTGTTTGCGCGCACTTTTTATCCCCTACTTGGGAATAAAAAACAGTTTCTAAAGTACAAATGATCTTTGGAGAGAGAAGCAATGAGAAAAGCAGGCAAAGCACGGAGATCGCTTCACTTGTTAGCGCCTCGTTAGGGCTGAAAAAAAGCTTCTAAAGCACATCTGAGAATTGGAGGGAGCAGGCAAAGCCCGGAAGATCGGTTCACTCACTAGCACCTCGTTAGGGCTGAAAAAAAGGTTTGAAAAAGCTACATTCGGAGGGGGAGGCCTGGGGAGGCCCAGGTGCGGCCCACAGAGGCTCCATTTCAGCCTGTAACAAGCCCAGGGAGGCCTCCAGAGACCTGAATGGAGCCTCAGAGGCCTAGATGCAGCCCACAGAGGCCCCATTTTGGCCAGCAATGGGCCAGTGGAGGCCTCTGGAGGCCCCAGCAGCCGTTTTGGCTGGTAGAGTGCTACAGGAGGCCATCAAGGCCAAAAACGGGCTACAGGGGGCCGCTAGCAGAAGCACTGCAGGCCGGTCTTTTGCTATTTCCAGGATGGCCCTGCAGGCCCTATCTAAGCACCCCAGGAGCCAGATCCAGACTGTGGGCCTTGAGTTTGACATCCCTGGTTTAGAACCTGTGAAAGGTTTTAGTAAGATAGTCTCTTGAAACATAGTACAACCAAATATCAATTTTGGGAAAGGAGTTTGTGAACATAGGAAGAACATAAGAGTTGTGGTGGCACAATGGTTAGAATGCTGTATTGCAGGCTAATTCTGCTGACTGTCAGTGGTTCAATCCTTACAGGCTCAAGGTTGACTCAGCCTTCTGAGGTTAGTCAAATGAGGGCCAGATTGTTGGTGGTAACATGCTGACTCTGTAAACTACTTAGAGAGGGCTGTAAAGCACTGTAAAGCGGTATATAAGTCTAAGTGCTATTGTTATTGCTATAAAGCTCCAGTAATATTTATTGATCTAAATTAGCTCATTGCAAGTTATCTTGAGAAGCAGACAAAATTCACTTTATCAAAAGATCTGAAAGAGAAGATCTTGGTGTCCTAATAAAATAGGTTCAAACTCACCTTAAGAATATTTTTTCACAAATTCTTATTACTCTGAAAACAGCTTTTTAGTGGAGGCTGACTGCTTTATTGGTTATACTCTTCATTTCTGATAGTAAAAGGCTAGCACTAACTTTAAAAAGTCATTGAGAAAATCCATTTTTAAATATGTCTATGGAGATTCTCAATCATCTAGGCCATGGTTGATTTAAAGGTGCTTTTCAAAAGGCAACTGGACATTCTTGTTTTTTCCCCCTTGAAAACATTTCACTTCTCATCCAAGAAGCTTCTTCAGTTCTGGCTGAACTGAACTGAAGCTCCCAGAACTAAATAAGTTTCTTAGATGAGAAGTGAAACATTTTCAAGGAAAAAGCTAAGGAAATCTAGTTGTCTTTTGAAAAGCACCTTTGGGAGATTTTTAAATATATTTCCTGTCAGTTTTAACAGGCAATCTATTGTATGGAAGAGTGATAAAAAGAAAAAAAGTAAGGTTTGGTTTGTTTGGTCTGATTTCCTGCAATCAGTGGTGGGTTGCTCCCAGTTCAGTCCGATTCATATGTACCGGTAGTAATGGTGGTGGGAGACTCCGCCCACCCACCCGGACGTCATCTTGGATGTTTTGCGCATGCGCAGAAGCTTCTGTGCATGTGCAGCAGCATGCGCACAAGCAAAGCAAGCGGGTGTGCACGTTCCTGTTGCGAACCGGTAGTAAAGGTAAGTGGAACCCACCCCTGCCTACAATGCAATTAGTGTAACCTCAGATCTGTTGAGTTACATCACAATGTTGGGATTTGATTCAACAAGTTTACAATTCTAAAGCTTTTCTCCTTTAGATGCCAGATTTACCTTCCCCTCCCCCTGTGTATTCAACTTAGTTCTCTTGTGGGTATGAAGAGATCCAAGGCTGATAATGTGCTTGATCCCTCCCTCAGGCTCAGCCTGGTCATCACCTACACTGATAAAGACTTTGTGAAACATTAGGATATTAGCTTGGGAAATGGAGTTGTTTCCTTTAAAACTGAACATATAGGTATAAGCTAGTTCTTATAATAATTATGGATTCTCTTTCACACAGCTTTGGGAAACCACCTGAGGACTAATCATCCTGCCCTTGCAAAAGGACAAGCCCCTCTGGCTCCAACTCAGACCCCAGAACTCTAGAGAACTGCTATTGGGAATCCAAGACCTGCATGAAGCAATAAGATCACTAATCACCAATCAGGATAGCCTTCATTATTTGTGTGTCAAAACATATATAAAATTTCTGTCCATATGTTGCACCATGAAAGATATGCATAGACTAGAGAGGCAGTGATGGAATATTTGCCAGAGTTTATCAGTCTGCTCTGGCACCTGGATGTTTGTATTCTTGAACACTTGATATATGTTAAATATATTACATATCTTGGAATTATGATGGTATAATTAAGTGATGGAACATGATGGATGTTCTCTTCTTTCACAAATCAAAGAAGGAAGAAAACAAATCTTTCATTTGTTCCTTCCATTTTGGCTATCATTAATGTGCTTGCCAATGTGAGGAGTCATTCTTCTCACTAAAGCTATATTCTTCACAAAGGCATCCCACAATAACACAGAACTTAAATATTTAACTTTCCACCCCCAGGTTGAGAGTAGCTTCCCGGAAGATTCAGTTGGTATAATATGCAACAAATAGGCTGCCTTCTGGTGTATAATACTACATACATATTATAACTGTAATGCAAGATCTGCACTTTCAGGGTAAAGTTTAAAGATTTGCTTCTAAACTTTAAACAGTTCACAACTTAACTACCTAGAGACCACAGGATGAATCAATTGAGAAAGTAACATCAACTGGAGAAATTCTCTTGAAGATGCATCTGCTTTCCAAGCTCTATTTACAGTATTAGGCACATTTAAAGGCCTCTATTTAAAGGCTTTCCTTTTGCTCCCAATTGGTCTTCAGAAAGAGTCAACACATCTATTTCCAATTTGGGCTAGTTTATAGTGATCTATATAGTGATTTGTAATATTTTAAGTGTTGGCTTTTAATTGTTACTTTAGCTGCTTTGGCTAACGTATGGAGAGAAAATCACAATATAAATTAATATAGCAACACTGTCTTCCCTCTTCCTGCATAGGATAATATACTAACTGTAGGGATTCAATGAATTGAGAGGATGAAGCATATAGTATATGCCACTATTAGTTTCAATAATCCACCCAACTTGCATGACAGAAATGAAGTTGAAATAAAGTGAAGTTGCTTTTCAATAGCATTGTCCCCAGTGACATCAAGTTCTCTTCAGAAAGCACTGGTGTGATGAAAAGACTTACAAAGTGACTCTTGGAAGCCCAAGTGAATGGAAAGTTAAATCAAAACTTTATTGTATACATTATTAATGAGAGGCAAAGGTTCTACTGTTAACAGTTTGGAGGTGTTGTTTTAAAACCCACAAAAACATATTTACAAAATAAAATTAAAATAGTGATGCCAAGTTCGGTAATTAATCCTGATACTATTACTGTCTTTGTTTTAACACTGGACAATTTTGCTGAGGCACAAGGAAGATGTTATGGATACTCTCCCACAGAAGTGAAGATCAGACAAAACATGTAGATGTCCATCTTCTATACTTTTCCTGTTTTGAATTAGGTAGTATGATCCAGAAATTCTTAACATGCCAGTTGCCTTGAGCAAAGATTTTATACTAAGGGGTAGAAGTTTGCTTACATTTACTGCAAAATACTACTTGGGATACAAATGGAAAATGTTTCTCTTGTATTGTGTAAAGTCTTCATCTAGTGGGTCAGACAACTGAGTTGAACATGCTAATGGATATAAGCAGTAGAAGAGAAATTCATGAAATGCCCCCTTCCTTGATAATGGCCTTCCACTTCTGAAAGTACATCAAGCAAAATGCCATTTGTTTCCTTCTAAATGGAGAACTGCATTTACAATGGTAAGTAATATATACTGTCAAACAATTAGCACCATGTACAGTCAGTTTCTGGCAGAATCTACTTATTTTCACTCCAGATTTATTAGTAATAGGTCCTGTTCAATTAGGTGCTGTTCCATTTTATGTACATTGTAATTATTTTCATCATGGTTATAAAACTAATTATTACTAAAAACAGGCTTAAATTATTAGCAGTTGAAGTGAAGCAAGTATTCTGTGACAGAAAACACATTTAAAAAATTCAATGCCACACATTTGATTTTAAAATCAACCTTCAAAGTTACAGCCCTGTTATAATATCTGTGTCCACAAGTGAAAACTGTGCTAATCACACTGAATGTTGAGGTTCTGTAGAAGGGGGTTATGGCTTGTAATAGTCAGTACTTGTGGCAAGCACATCATCTTCTCACTGAAGAAAGAACAGAATAAAGTTAAAGGATACTACTAAGCTTTTAATGCATTTTTGGTAAGTTGCTATGCAACAATAATTTACAATAAGTACTGTAATTCCAGTTCTTCAGCCTGTCTTTCTGAATTAATAGCAGATAATTTTCTGCCCTATGACATTATTTTTAATAATTTATTTTGTCAGTACACATTTTTTTGTGCTGGTGGTAGAGGTAGGTTTTCAGTCCTGGGCTATCTTTGCTAAGATGTGTTATCTTCTATAACAGAGGTTATCAACCTTCTCCTTGCAAACAACAGCCCTTGCTCACTAAAGTGCCTCAGGAGCATGTGATTAGGATAAGTTTGGAGTTTTTGGCTACGTGCAAAATAGATGCATTAAGCACCTGGCTTAGTTCTTATGTACCGTATTTTTTGGAGTTTAAGACGCACCGGAGTATAAGATGCACCTTAATTTTGGGGGAGGAAAACAAGAAAACAAGAATTCTACCTCTGCCTACCAGCATTTAAGGTGGTGCTGCTTTACGCTGCCCTCCTCCTCCTCCTGCAAGTCGGCTGGGAAAGAGGGCGTTGATTACTGATAAGTTCTTTTCTAGAAAACTTATCAGGGTGCTCCTGATAAGACCCCTCGCATGCTGTGGGAGGAGGGAAAGAGCACAGCCTGAGGAACAAACCTCTTTGGGATGGTCTGGGGGGAGAATCTGTCTGGCAGCTTTGGGGAAAACAAGGTGAGCGCCACGATTTGCAGTTGATCACCTCTCTGGCCGCCCAGCGGGCAGGTCAGGGCAGACAATGGTCACAATGACTTCACTCCCCAGCAATGTGAGGAGCCACCGTTGCTGCTGCCTATGCCCACTCTGTGCCCAGGAGCCGAGCGAGCCAAATATGTTAGGCTATATTGCCACTTTAAACAGCAGCTTCTCAAAACTTAAATTATTTCAGCTGGCATGGGAAAAGGCACGTCAAGAAAAGTAAAAGGTAAGAAAATAAGGATACACTGGGGAAAAAAACCAACCACCAATGGCTCCTGGAATATATTGTTCCTTAATGCCTTTATTAATTTTCATTTTCTAAATTGCCTTTGCAATTTCTCAAAGAAAGGATGACTGTTTCAACCAACTTTACCAGTGGTAACATGAAGAAATGGAGATGGATCAATTTGTGTTGATCCTTAATTTTAAGTTTGGTTCCTCTTCTAATGAAACTGATTTCATCTGATTCACTATTCGTACTTCAGTAACCTTAAAGGTCCTTATTGGGCCTTAATTTAAGCAAGGAACAAATTATGGCAGTTTTGCTTGTTCTTGGCTTTCCCCCCAGCCCCACCACCAACTCAAATTATGGAGAGCAAGTGGTGGATATTTTAATGCTGGCTAGTGACATTTCATGGGTGGAAAGGAAACCAAGGAAATCCCTAATCCCCTTTCTTAACTTCTGCATGCAACAAAGACTACCGCTTGGCAATAGTTACGGTGATGAGATAAGCACTGAGGTCATATCAAGCAAATATTATGACAGTTTACAGTTGGCACAAGCAAAAATGATTTTACCATTGCTTTAAAAAAAGATGAATTAAGGAATGGAAATAGTGTTGCTTGGAGCTGCCCAACGCCTCTGAGACTATTTAAGCTAAAAGCAAACAGAGTTCCAATATATTTTAAAATAAATATCCCATATGGACTAGTGAAAAAGGAAAATGCTTCAAATGCATCTTAATTAACTTATTCCCAAATAAATTAAAATTGCAGTATCCCCAACAAAGAGGGGAACAAAGAATCTCTCAATACTTTTCTTGCTAAAAAATATATATATTCCTTGCTTACTTTGTATCCACAGGTAGAGGTGCAGTACAAAAGTGCCCAACAATAGGTGGCTCATCTTTGTTCCTCTTCCAAAACTTGTGACGCTGCTGCAACATCACACTTTCTATCTGGCATAGTGGAGCGGAATGAATCAGCAAGCCTTTGCCCAACATTTGTTGTTTGGGTCTGTGAAGCTCAATAGGATATAAAGTGTGAGAATAGGAACCAAAGTTTTATTGACTTTTTGGAGAAATATAAATACATTGTAGGGAAGAGCTATAGTCACGCTGCAGAGTGAGCTCTGAATCACTCTTAATGAGAGCCAGGCCATTTTCCATGAGGATCCAAAGGAAATTCTATGCTCTCTGCAACACCTTTATTCTGTACATATTAGCTGAAGTGCAAGAGGAGAGAAAAACACATTGGAAAGAATCAAGCACTGCAGGAAAAGCAAAATCAGCATTCCTAAATGATTGCAGTTGTTTGCTTAGCTTTGCTTCAACATCTGGCAGCATCTGGCCATTCTCTCTGCACTGTAAATTCAACATTGTCTGTGTGCACATAATGTATATTTAAGATTGCACTTAGCATTTTTCTTGGTTATTCATTTAGCTGCACAATTAAGAAGCTGATAGTAAAGAAAGTTGATGTGGCTCCACTACTTACACAAGCAGTCAAAGTAATAATTTTCTGAGACTTCAGTAAACCCTGATTTTGAACATTTAAACAGCAGAAAATTCTGCAGCTGCACAATTGCTCATGTCTTCATAGTACCACAAATCTACATGCTTCAAATACAAATGTATCTGGCTCTGTTTCTATTATAATATTATGTGGAAACACCCATGGCACAATCCTAATTAAATAAGTGTTAGTGGGTGGTGTTAGGGTATGTTCCAGAAATCATTCCTGCCAACTAAGATGATTTTTTTCTGAAAAAAAGATCTGCCAATATATGCTGTGAAAAATAAAATATGGGATGAGAATGGGCTAGAAGAAGAAAAGTGTTATACCATGTCCAAATTTTAGTCGGTCTGGGCAGATATTTATAATGCTGGTGCAAAGTGAAGACAGGCTGGGTTAGTTTTATATTATCCTGCAGCAGACTGAATCCAAGAGAAGCTTAAAACAAGCAAACATGCACCACATATTTGGAGTCAAGAGGGAGTTAGATTTGACATACAACAGATTCAGCAAGTCTGACAGCTCACAACCATTTTGGCTAGTTAAGATTATGCTGCCTATTGGATGATTGTGCAAACTGAAAGGAACAAAAGAAGACATTGGAACTGTCCATTATTACTCACATGATGAAGCTGGTGCTAGCTGAGGAGTTGCTAGTGAGAAAGGTTATCTCAATATTGGTATCTGAAGTTCTCCTCTGTTGCAAGTGGAACTCCACAAGTGTATGGTGTACTAAGCAACACAGAAAACACATTCTCGGCAGAAAGCATTAAACATGATTAGCCTCCATTATTAAAAAGAAAATTGTTGCTAGGTTCTTTGTAAACTCATACAAGAATATCTCCCCACTTGTCAGTCAGATCCTTTAAAATAAATTAATAATTGGTCTATAGTACTTTTTATTATGAGGGAACATAGGCAATATTGTCTGTGAGCTGTTGAGTGATACACCACAATAGTTAATTAAAACATAAGTTTATTCTAGAATCTTCTCAGGTATCAATTTGTCTAGATTCTCCTGTTTTGTTTTGTTTTAAAGATAGGAATAAGATTGGATTCCTTCTTGTTCTCCTTATATCTCAAAGACAATGAATTCAGCCAATTAACAATTTTTACCATCCTAAATGAAATTTTAGTTTTCTCCCAGATCTAGTCTTGCCTCTGTTCCTCATTTGAACATATAGGTTAGTACTGTTGGTACTATATTTTCCAATAGAGACAGATGTAAACAATTGAATCTCAGTGAGGAGCTTTAAAGCAGAACTTTAATTACAAAATCAAGAGGAAGATTGTCTATACTGTGTATTCATTTTACATTTGAAAGCTATCAGTGTCATTGGATCTGAATTCTAAATTATTGTCCTCCGATATTCAGAAGAAAGTTTTCAATTTTCAATTACTCACCACAGTATGGTGCTGATGCAGCTGTGGCCAAGTAAACTTTAACCTCTCTAGGTAACGTTTTCATGTTGAGTCCTCCATTGTCCAAAAGTCCTAAATCAACATTATAATACAGAAGAATATGGAATTCTCTGGTGCATAAGTAAAGAGTGAACATGCAGTTAGTATTGGGCATCAAATTTGAGATTTTGTAGGTCTCACTTTTCATTTAAATAGCAAACAAGTGTCCCTTTCCTTGGTGCTGAGCTAAAGTGCTCTTCACTCATCCTTGACTGGGCAGATACTGGCATGAAATTTGCTGTTCTCAAATCAAATGTTGTCCTTATTGCTTATCTTTATCCTCCTTCTATTTCTTCTGTTTTCAGTCTCTGTCAGTTGTCTATCTTCCTTCCAAGATAATGAATGACAAAGTCTCAATATTTAGAAGGATCTTGAAACTGTCAGATAGCAGGGGAACACTATTTTAACATGACAACTTAAACCAGTCTTTGTTTGGACAATGAATGAGATAAAACAGGGATATCCACAGAGTATACTTTAAAAAGTCAAGATAGTGGCCATGATTTTGTAATCATAGCTCCATCTGATTTTTAGGTGTATTGTACATTAAAATGGAGCTTCAATCATACTCTTGTGGCTGATCTCTTGAATTTTTGATCATGCCTATACAGTAGACACTCTGAAATGAAAACAATGTCATGGGAAGATAGCAAACAAACAAACAAATAAACAAACAAATAAATAGATGCTGCGCTGGCATATCTGTACTGGAGTTCAGTGCAAGTAAGGAAAGGTCTTAGAAGATACGCTCATTTTTAAAACACAATAGGCAGCCTGACTATAAGATCTTGGAGTACTCATTTCTAAAGATCTAAGTGCCAGAGCCCACTGTAATAACAATGCCAAAAAGGCATTAAGAGTTGTTAACCTAATCTTGTGTAGCTTCTTCTCTGGTAATATTGTACTACTAACTAGAGCATACAAAACATTTGCTAGACCAATTCTTGAACAGAGCTCATTTGTCTGGAATCTGCACTGCATATCGGACATAAATACAATCGAGAGAGTCCAGAGATATTTTACGAGAAGAGTCTTCCATTCCTCTAACCGCAATAAAATACCTTATGCCACCAGACTCCAAATTTTGGGCTTAGACAACTTAGAACTACGCCAACTTTAGTCTGACCTAAGCATAGTACATAAAATGATCTGCCACAATGTCCTTCCTGTCAATGACTACTTCAGCTTCAACCACAACAATATATGAGCAAATAATAGATACAAGCTCAAGGTAAACCGCTCCAAACTCGATTGCAGAAAATATGACTTCCGTAACAGTGGTTAATGCCTGGAATGCACTACCTGACTCTGTAGTTTCTTCCCCAAACCCCCAAAACTTTAACCATAAACTGTCTACTGCTGACCTCACCCCATTCCTAAGAGGTCTGTAAGTGAACCAGAATGCCTACCGTCCCTGTTCTAATATTCCTTTTTTACTTACTCTTTTCATGTATTCAAATTATGTTTATACTTTTACCTGTTATCTTATATATGCTTGACAAATAAACTTATGAATTATGAATTTTAATTGCCATCTACATTATCCTCTTCTCTATTCCAGACCATGTTTTTTGCAGGCTTAATGTGTAACTGTCATGCCGTTAAACACAGGCAGGGGATAGGCAAGACAGTGGGAACAATTCATTGCTGATTTAGCAGCTTTTCTTGTTGTTACAGCAAAAATTCAGTTCCAAAATTTGCTACTGTAGAAAAACTCTAGGAATTTTGACTCTTAGGATTGGACTGAGTTCTTCAATACAACAACTGTTTCTACTCTTTTTCTCCCCCTTCCTGGTGTAAATATGGATATTTCATTCTTTCTTTCTCTGTTCCTGTTTTAAAAATAAATTTGGGAACGGGAACAAAATTGCTTTATTACTGCTACACTCTGATTTACTGTCTATATACTTGGAAAATAAAGAGCAAAGTCTGACAGGGAATTGGAATCAAACATTTCAACAACTTACATTTTAGAATTGTTCAGATTTGGAGTATGCGAGTTTTAACTTTGACAGAACTTTCAATAAAATATTATGTCCTCAACAGAGATCTTGATTTCATTTGTCATCTAATCAGAAGACATATCTCACAGAAGATGGAAGACCTGCCATATCCTAACTCCACTCACATCCCAAATTCTCAAAGTTTAGGTTCTGAGATCACTGTAGAAGTAACATACCAATTGTGGGACAGGAGAGCAAGAAAGGATTGAAGCAATCTAAACAGTGACCAGCTAAGAAATTCTTATAACTAGAACAAGGGAAAGCCATCACTGGGCAGGAATCTTTCAAGACATTGATGTAGAAATGCACAGCCCTCAGATGGTCACAGATCAGGTACTTGTAGCCTGGAAAGGAAAAGAGACAGAGTGTATGAAGCTACAGATATGTCATCATTTTGGTGGCTAGTGCCATTTCTCATTATTTTTAATTTCTTTGTTAGCCTTCAAAATGTAACCTGATTACAGTTTCACTATTTAAAAAAAAAAAAATTAATTGGGCATAACAATTGAAAAGCAATAAAAAGGGAGAAATGGCCTGTCAATAGGGAAGTGGGGTTGTTGGTGATTTTGACTTGTCTTGACTGCCAGTGACTTCTTGGACTAATCCTTACAATTTTCATGGCAAGATTTTTCCAAAGTGGGTTGCCTGCTTTTTAGGGCTGAGAGAGAATGACTGACCCAAAGTCATCCATTGGTTCTGAGTCTTATGTTCTCAGAGTTTCTGGCCTGATGTCTTAACAAGTACATCAAATGGCTCTCTGTGGAAATGTATAGCAATTTTTTCTTTAAAAATAGCAATATATACTGCTTTACAGTGCTTTACAGCTTTCTCTAAGTGGTTTACAGAGTCAGCATATTGCCCCCAACAATTTGGGTCCTCATTTTACCAACCTCAGAAGGATGGAAGGCTGAGTCAACCTTGAGCCTGGTGAGATTTGAACTGCTAAATTGCAGGCAGCCGCCAGTCATCAGAAGTAGCCTGCAGTACTGTATTCTACCCACTGCACCACTGTGGCTCAAAATGATCCAAACTGGATGAATGTCCCTTTCCTTGCCTTTAAAAAACAAAAACAAAAAACCAAAGATTAATTTAGTGGTTTTCTAATCATTTTTTTAAAAAAATCTAAATATTTTTGGTTAAAAAAAGTGAAATGAAAGCTAAAATATAAACTTAAGAGAAAGAGATTTTTAATTTAGGAAGATGCCAAGCTTTTAAACCAGCCCTGAAGAAGAATTAATGGATTAAATATACTTTAACTGATTTGTTCTTATGCTTTAACTATAAATTTACATTATATCTAATAGAATAGCAAATAAGTCAAAACATGTCATTTACAGGTACATAAAATACATTTTTATTTTTCAGTTTGCTGGGATTTTAAAGCACAAGTAGAAATTGAAGCTATCTTATCCTATTATTCTATGTACAAAATTTTCTTTGATAATTGTCAAACCACTTTGATTATTAAGCTACTGTTTCTCAACCTCAGCAACTTAAAGATGTGTGGACTTCAATTCCCAACATGCTGGCTGAAGAATTCTGCCAGTTGAAGTCCATACATATTACAATTGCTGAATGTGAGAAACACTGATTAGACTATTGAGTCCACCAGTCTACTCAGTACAGGAATCTAAATTAATGTATACTGGAAAAGATAGCTGTATAGCCTCCATTTGAGCCTATGTCCAGCTCAAATGTCCACCGTCCAAATGCTCTTGTATTTGCATTTCTACAAATAAATCAGGAGGCTGGCCAGGTCACAAGCAGCTTTCCAAATGTAAGTACAAATTCTTGACTAAGGGCCTTTTTCCACTGCTGAACTGCTTACCACTTATCCTTGAGTCAACAGAATATTGTAGCAGTTTGACTTTTAATATCCCCAATGTTGATAGTTACCGTGATTGCTTTTACCATATTGCCTCTGCAGTTATTGCATTCATTCCAAAATAATGAGTGACAAAGTCTAACAAATTTTAGACTGTCCTTGAACACTATTAGAAGAAGGGAGAAAAAGCTGTTTTAACTATTGGAAACTACTTAATAGTAGTTTCCAATGAGACATGACAACTCCACAGAAGAAAAGAGACTGCTGCCTGCTCAGTTTGTGCTGTGGTTTGATAGAAAGTGAAAAGACCCTCATAGGGAAAAATTAATAGAGAATTTCCCTTAAATTCTCTTACTGAACCTTTCTGGCAACCTCCTGTTAATCCCCATTTATTGATACAGATATCCCTAATGAGATTGTATTTACTGTATCTATACTGTATTTACACTGCTTTGACAGAAAAGCAGCTTCAAATAATCACCCAAGAACCATTATTACCAGATAATATGAAACGGGGACATCCAGGCTGATCTTTCCCTCCATTAAGATAGTAATCAATGTGCCCCACGGGTATTTGGATACCAAAATCTAGAAAAAAATCTATGTTAGAATTGCTTTTAAAATGATGCAGATATCTATAGCAAAGCTGTAACTGGAAGCATTGATCACACATATGTAGATACATATAGGCACGAAACAGATCTTTTCACAAATATTTTTTTTCCAGAATATTCTGGAATATTCTAATTCTGTTCCAATTATTGGCCACGCAAATAAAAGAAAGCCAACTGTTGAAACACACAAAATATGCATACAACTGAACTATGTGAAGTATTATAGTTACTGATTAACTTTAATTGCAAATTGTAAAATGCATTCTGAAGAAGTTTGAACTTTGAAAGACTGCCGTTTTTTAAAAAGGTAAAAAAATCCCAATAGTATCACAGTGATGTGTGTGGGGGACGGACGGACCCCAAATCATTTGTGTGCCAGGTCACTCCAACAATTGCAACATTCCTTCCTTTTGGGATAGATAGAATAGCCAGGTCATAACTGATCTCCTGAAACCCAAGAGACAAAGAATAGAGTGGATTTCTATAGGGCCGGCAATTGAGAATGTTTGTTTCCAAGGTCCTATCAGATGGCATCCCTAGAAGACAGGACTTAGAAGATGTTTGACAGTCTTTGATTTGATTAGATGAGCAGATGCATAGAAGAAAAGATCTGGATCCTTAATGGACCGGATGCTGATTGGCAACAAGTGCAGTCTGAAAGGAGTGGGGTCACCCATCGGTAACAAGATATTCCGCGACAACCCAGACCATTGCATTCTATACCAGCTTTATATTTCAAATGCTTTTCAAGGGATTCCATTTGTACAGAATTGACAATAATCCAAGCTGGAGGTGACTAGGGCATGAGTGACTATGAGCAAGAATTCTCAAATCTGGAATGATCACAATTAACACCCAAAATTTAATTGCACAAAAAAGCCCTTTGGGCCACAAACCAGCTGCTGCTTGAACAGGAGCAGGAGGATGCCCAGATTGCATACCACTTCTGAGAGTTCAACACCATTCAGAGCTCAAGGCAGTATAGTTCTTCCCTGGAATTGTTGATCCATAAACCCAAAGTCACCCCATCAGAAGAAGTAAGATGAGATAGTGTAGCTATGACAGACAAACAGCATCTATTATTTATGATTATTACCACATCTTAAAAAGTGGAAATTAACAGTAAGCAATTATTTTCAAGAAGGATACAATTTTTTTTTAGAAATAAGTACACCTGAAATGTTATTGTCTTTAAAAAAAAATAAAACTGAAATATGATTGGAAAGCAGGTCATTAACTTACTATCTGAATCTGTGTGAATGGCTTCTACAAAGAGAGCATCCCCAGGATCCAGACGCTCCTCAGGGCTGGCTCTTGTGTATTTTGGCCCCGCTGGATCCAGAGCTGAAACATGATGAACAATAAGTGGCAACCAGTTACACTTTTCATTGGCTGAATTTGGAGGACAGCAAGTGATTGTGTAGTACAAGGTCACCTGAAATGGCCATTTGTGATTCAGAAGGCAGAACCTGAATTGTTGAAACAGAATTGAACTTGTGGCATTTTTCATAAGAAACTAAAACAAAACTAAATTCTTCAATCATCATCATCATAATCCTTTCCATGTTGTTATTACTATTATTTTGTTTGAAAAAAGCTTTGAGAGATGGGATTAGGAATCAGCTCAAATCACAATGAAATCATTTCTTTGACTAAAATGTTTTAAAAGTTCCTTATTTATAGGAGCTTTATTCAATACTATTGCTAAACCTCTACATCTATAATTATTGGGAACTGTTTAAATCTTTTGCAAAACCAACTAGTTGTTTTGTCAGCATGATAGCCAAACAGAAGGTTGATCAAAGCTATAGAACAAGATGGCAAAATTCATTGAAAAATCTAAAAGGAACAAAATCTATATGACATTAGTTATATAATATATAAATATGCACAATCTCTTCATTTTGGAAAAAAAAGTTATTGCAGGACCTTAGTTCAGAATCAGCTTGGAGCCTAATGCAAGTTTTCTGTGATATCTATTTATATACTTGTGTTTGCATGCTTTCGAACTGCTAGGTGGGCAGGAGTTGGGACAAGTAACAGGAGCTCACCCTGTCACATGGAGCTTGGGTCTCAAACAGAGGCTATCAGCAATCTCAGTGCCTTTAATCATTGTGCCTCAAAATATAATTAGTTAAGAGCTAAATTAAGCACTCTTCAAATATTAGTATATTAATAAAAATGTCATAAACCATACTAAATATTTTCACCTTGCTGCTTTCCTTACCAGTAATTCTTCCAAGGTGGCCTTCATAGAATTGGCCCACCAGGCCCCCAACGTGTGCTCCAAGGCTCACCCCAATAAGATGGATGGATGACTCTGGCACCCCCATAGCCTGAAGGTTGGGAAGAATAATAATTAGGATTTTTTTCTTCTAAATGCCCTCAAAACACACAGATAAATCCCCCAACAATCTAATCAATTGGTTCTTGTTTTTCTCTGGACTATTTTGCTTCGATGGAAGGGGAAAAATGCAAAATGAAGGTAACTCTAAAATTAGAGTTTCATATACAGCTTATTGCAATACAACTTTATGTTAGTCGCAACAATACTTTTTAAATTTATTATGAACAGAGTACAGGCAAAATAGTTCATTTATGTTGTATGACAAAAGGAATCTGGACAGAGTTAAGCTGCAAAGCAATAACCAGAAACGTGATTACATAAATATTATTTTTTAAATATGTATCATTTGAAGGTTAAAAAAATAGTGATACTTGTCTGCATTTCTTTAAACAAAATGTGTCTTTTCACAATCATATAATCACAAAGTAATGCAGGTACTACCGTTGTGTACTTGTGTGCTCCAGATGATATAGAATCATAGACTCATAAGGTTGGAAGGGACTTTGGAAATCTTCTAGTTCAACCTGCTCCCCAAGGCAGGAGTCCTTATTCCATCCTGGACAAATGGTTGTTCTTCAAAACTTCCAATGATGGAGCATCCACAATTCCCAGAAACAAGCTGTTCCATTGATTAATTGCTCTCACTGACAAGAAATTCCTCCTTAGCTCCAGTTGAATCTTTCTCTAATAAGTTTCTACCCATTGGGTCTTATCCTACCGTCAAGTCCTTTGGAGAATAAGTTGAACCCTTCATGTCTGTGACTGCCTCTTAAGTATTGGAAGACTGCTATCATGTCTCCCTTCTAAGCTTCTCTTCATTAAGTTAAACATATCTAATTCCCCTACTTGTTGATCATATGTCTCCACATCCTTTATCATCTTTCTCGATCTTCTCTGCATTCTTTCTAGGGCAGGGGTATCAAACTCAAGGCCCACAGGCCAGATCCGGCCCACCAGGTGCTTAGATATGGCCCTCAGGGCTGCCCTGAAAACAGTGAAGGACCAGCCCTTAGTGCCTCTGCCAGAAAAACAGAGTTCGGGAGGACCGTGCACCACCGCACATGGCCCCTGAGCTCCGTTTTCACTGGCAGAGGGCTGCAGGAGGCCATCAAAGCCAAAAACAGAGCTCATGGGGGCCATGCACAGTCCCCCTGAGCTCTGTTTTTGCTGGCAGAGCATTGGGGCCACCACAGGCAACCTGACACATGTGATGTAAAGTTGGCCACACCCACCCCTGGCCATGCCCACCCCAGCCCCCCAAGGTCAAACACCACCCTGATGTGGCCCTCAATCAGTGGGTTGCCCCCAGTTTGGACCGGTTGGCAAGAACCGGTAGTAAAACCAGCGGGAGGCCCCGCCCACTGTCCCAAATGTCATCATTGTCCATCTGTCCATCCTGTTGCGAACCGGTAGTAAAGGTAAGTAGAACCCACCCCTGCCCTCAATGAAAATGAGTTTGACACCCCTGTTCTAGGGCTTCAGCATCTTTTTTTGTGGTGTCTAGAACTGGATGCAGTATTCCAGGCATGCCTCAATAATGCAGTACAGAGTGATACTATAACTTGATGCTATTCCTCTGTGATGCAGCCCAGAACTGCATTGGCTTTTCTGGCAGCTGCAGTACATTGCTGCTCATTCTTAAGTGATAGTTCACCAGGACCCATAGATCCCTTTCACAGGCACTACTGTTGAGCCAGTACTGCCTATTTTATATCTAAGCATTTGATTTTTCCTGCCTAAGTACAGGGCCGTACTTTTCTCACAATTGCATCTTGTTGGATAGGGCCTTGAGCAGGGGTGAAATGTAAAAATGTTTGCTACTGGTTCTGTGGGTGTGGCTTGGTAGTCATGTGACTGGGTGGGCATGGCCAACTTGACATCACTCACTGTTAGAACCAGGAACTGTATATTTTGAAGCACATTCTGCCCCTTCTGAAGCCTCCAATGCTTTGAGTTTCCCTCCACCACCCAAGCGAACATCGGAGCCTTCTCTTGCCCTGCTCTCCATCCTGGAGGGCTGCGCATTCCCATCACCACCAATCCTCCACACAAACCAGTGGTGAAATCCAAAAATTCCTTCTTCTTCCTTCCTTCCTTCCTTCCTTCCTTCCTTCCTTCCTTCCTTCCTTCCTTCCTTCCTTCCTTTCTTTTTCTCTCTCTCTTTCTCTCTCTCTCTCTCTTCCTCCCTCCCTCTTCCCCACTCCCCACCCCCACTCCCCACCCCCACCCCCAGGGAATAACTGTAAGGAAATTTGGCCCCGTTCTTTCTGTCTCTGGAAAGATACCAAAATAAACCTTGTGTTGCAAAAGGAGTGACTGTCAGGCTGTTACAGCAGCAATGGAGACAGTGAGAGGAATATGGGGACTTTCTCCGCCCCGAGGCACCAGCTGGGGCGCGTCTCCCCATATTCCTCTCACCACCTCCGTGGCTGCTTGCTGCTTTTGCACTTAAACTTAGCGAGCTGCACAATGGGGAAGACGGCGTTCCCCCCCTCCTCCTCCTGGAGCCCATTACGGTGCAGAGCATTGGCTGTAGCCGGGCAGCCCAGCCAGTGTCTAAGCGTGGAGAAAAATTGTGTGTCTCCCAACAAGGGCTGGAAAAAGAGGCAAGTAGAGGGGTGCTTTGCTTGGAATATGGAGTGAGTCTCCATCTGCCACCTTCGCCTTTCTCTTCTCAGGACAGGTGAGGAGTGAGGGCGGGGGAAGGGCGAGGTGGGACAGCTGACAGGGAACCACAGCAGGGGGATGAAAGAGTTTCATTTATCTGGGAACCTGAAATGACTCTTGATTTAAATCATGTTGGATGCTTATCCTATGGTTGGGTAGATAATATATAGAAAACTATGTTCTGTAACTTTAACTTCTACAAAGATGACTAATTGGCTGTGCTAAGCAGACATAAAAAGAAGGCAGGAAGTTCATTCACTTCTGCTGCTGCTATTGAAGGTTGAACTGCTGAAAGGAACTTTGTGTTACTGAAGACAACTGGAATTGTAAGCAAACTATGTTTTGTGTTGAACCATTATTATTTGAAGAAGTGTTATCTTTGTTTTGAGAAGCCAAGTTTGTTTTTTACTACAAGTAAAGACTGTTTATTTTTCTATCAACGTTCAGAGTCTGTGAGTATCTGTGTGTTTTGCTAAGCAACGTATCTATTCGCTGTCTGGTCCGTTGCATCACTTTGCAGAGGGCAGTTTTACCCTCAACAAATCATATGGTAAAAAGCACCCAAAGAAGAAAGAACAACATCCGCAAAAAAAAACCCCAAACAAACCCAACCCTCGCCTGTTTTTGGAAATGGTTCAAGAGGGAACACGCATGCACGCACGCACGCACGCACACACACACACACACACACACAAATGAGAGAGGGAGAAAAAGAGAGGGAGAAAGAGAAAGATGAGAGAAAGAGAGAGATGAGAGGCTGGAAAAAGAGGCAAGTAGAGGGACGCTTCGCTCTTGCTCTGGAATAGGGAGCGAGTCTCCATCCGCTGCAGTTGCCCTTCTCTTCTCAGGGCAGGTGAAGAGTGAGGGGGAGGGGAGGAACCACCCAGTAGTGGGATCCTCTGACAGGAAGCATTGGTAAGGCTGATGACCACAGGCCCTCCCTCCCGGAACCCCACCGCCACCTCTTCTGTTCTAAGAAAAACATTTCCTCTATCCATGTGTGGGAACCCACCCCTCCTAGAAAATGAAATATTTTGGAGAATTTTAAAAGAGGTACAATATTATATTTCCCCAAAGGAGAAATGGAGAAACATGTTTTTAGAGGCAGAAAGAAGCTCCCAGTCTTTTTTAATAGCTTACAGCAGATGCCCATTAAGAAAGATTGGGCCAGCCTATTCACAAACAAATCACCTTCTCCTCCAGCGATGGGATTAAAATTTATATCCTTCTCCATCCAAATTCTAAGAACAGGGCATGACCTTTAGGACATAATAGGATTAACTTACCACCATTAGAATAGCAAAAGACACAGAGCTCACTATATTGCACAACCCTCTGCAGCATTTCAGAAACTGTATAAAAATCATTGCACTTATCAAGCTGATTTGTCAGCTCTTCCAGAACTGCATGCTGTGGCTCTTTCTTTCTTAAGCAGCCTCCATTTATTCCCAGCTTGGAACTGAACCAGATGGATTTTTCTTCCAACACCTGGAATCCTTCCTATTTTCTCACTTAGTTTGTTGAACTTAGGTCTCTTAAAGTCTAAAATATTAGTCTGACTTCGTTCAGTTACCTGTGGCTGCATTATGGGGAACTCTAGAATGGCAACTTTTTTCCAAAGTTCCTGTAGCTTCCACTCCTTCAAGCACTTCATCCCTATTAGTAAGAATTATGTCCAAAATAGCTGACCCTTGAGTTCCCTCCTCCACCTTTTAGACAACAAGTTGTCAGCTAGGCACATCAGAAGCCAGTTTCTGTGTTTTTAAGTGGGCATATCCCACTTAATGCATAATTTTTCTTTAAATCCAAAGCACTCCACAGCTGTAGTTTCTTTTTTAAAGATATGATATCCTGAGAAGTCGCATTGGAAACAATAGACATGTTTATTATCCATGCATAATCAACTGCAACATATTGTACATGTCCTTCATAATATAATGAATCAATTTATTTGGCCTAGTGCATTTTGGAGCATTTTTAAAAATTATTTCTAGATATGGTAAAAAACATTATTGTGATAAATCACGTTAGAATCAACAAAGAGAAAAGATGGCCTTTGTTCCCAGGCATACACTGCAGAAACACCAAAAAGACTTCTGCTTTGGGCTAATTAAGAGACACTTGAAACCTTGTCTATTTCCTTAAAATAATTTACCTCACAGTTTAAAACTGCATGGAAGAAAAGGGTTCATGGAAGAAAACTCTCCAGCTCTTTAGGTTTTAGAAATTGCTCGAATATGAGCAGGCAACATAATTGGGATTAGATTTCCAAAGTGAAAGGAATTCAGTTTCCCCAGAATCATAGGGAGGTTGGAGCTTGGCCAGCTTTGCTTCTGTTATCTACCTTTCCTATGTCACAATGCTGAAATATTAGAGGATACATTTAATGCCTTTCCCCTGGCACCATTAATAGGCAAATATCGAGGTACCCCTTCCTTCTATGACTTTTATAATGTTGAAGTTTTCAATATTAATAACATCATTAATTTATATATTTGTTTCTTAACCACTGTATGCCACCCAGAGTCACTTGATCATGGGATGCATGGCTATACAAATATGATGGATAAATATTTATTTATTTATTAATTTATAAAATTTGTATGCCGCCCTATCTCCAAGGACTCAGGGCAGCTCACAACAACAATCGACGAAGCAACTGTTAAAATCAACAAATATACACAAAAAATATGAAAAGTTTTATAAGTTTTAAAATATAATACCTGTCAGCCTCCGCTTTTTCTGCTTTGGCTGCCATAGTAATGGGAGGGGGAGAGCAGATAGAATGGAGGGGGGAAACGTGCTGGAGGAGGAAAACGAAACTGATAGTTAAGCCACCGGACTGAAGCTGCCGTCGGGCCAACGTCGTGGCATTTCTGATTGATGACGCTGGCAGAAGTGTGCTCCCACCTGACCCCTGGGAGACCTTTGGATTGGATGATTTATGGTGGACAGTGGGAGGGGATGCTTTCTATATGCACTTTTCGTGCGTATTGCCTTAGATTCTGCTTTCCTATGGTTGCGTTCACTTCATCTCTAGTAAAAGTACCTTTCTCTATAAACAATGGAGTCATTCTTTCCTGGACTTTGAAGGAAACACACCTGACACTACCCCATCAGTCCAGGCTGGGGGACATAAATAGCCAGGTTTTCAATTCATGGCGGAAGGTGTGAAGGTCAGGGCCAATCAGAGCCAATCAGAGCCCCAAGGGAAGTTGATTCCAAAGGGTGGGGGCACTCACAGAGAAAGCTCTACCCCTGGGGGTCGCCAGCTGACATTGTCTAGCTGATGGCACCCTGAGTAGGCCCTCTCTGTGAGAGTGCACCGGGTGATGGGCAGTTGATGCTGGTTGCAGGTGGTCCAACAAATAGCCTGGGCCTAAGCCATGAAGGGCTTTATAGGTTAACACCAGCACCTTGAATCTCACCCGGAGGGCAACCGGCAACCAATGCAAGCCGCGCAGGAGAGGTGTAATATGGGAGTATCGGGTCCCTCCCGCAACAACCCGCAAGGCCGCATTCTGTACCAGCTGAAGCCTCCAGGTGATCTTCACGGGCAGCCCCAGGTAGAGAGCATTGCAGTAGTAAATAAATGAAGATAAAAAAGTAACAGAGACTGAATATGAATAATGTCTTTGCCAATGTAGGACTGATGAAATAGAGATAGTGAACCATATCCTCTCATTCTGTACATATTATATGGAAATTCATAGGATAATACTTCTGAAGCAAGGGGGGGGGAGTTTTCCAGTTGTAACTTTTTCTTTCTTAAATCTTATTAGAGCAAAGATAGGGTGTCTTGAGCAATTATGCCATTGTTTGCTTCACACCTCTCCTGTGGGCTAGAAGACTTTTGTTAAAATCTATGTCCAATTTTAACTTTTAAGTTATATATAAGGTTTTGGAATTTAGGTTCTAGACTCTATACAAACTTTTTTACTCTGTGTTTTCAGGACTGTTAGTTTTTTTTAATTATAAGATGAACTAATTAATTAACCAAGTACTAGTAAAACAGTGGATGGTTTTAACAGCATTAAAACATGTTTAATATATTAGAGAATTCAAAGATTGGATGATTAACATTTTTGAAAAGTCCATAATTAGAGCCTCTCCTCACTGCTGAATTGAACTGCTATCTGCCACTCTTCAAATCATCAGAAAATTAGATCAGTACAAGACTTACTGTCCCTCCGCCCCCCTCCAGCCGCTCCAATATATAGGATGATAAAGCCTAATGCATTTATATACCTTAGAAGTGATCCTTGGATGGTATCAGAATAAGTGGGGGTGGGATACTATTTAAACTTTAGTTCCATTTTAATCTTGTCTAATTCGTGGGCTTGGAATGAAATGAAGGCAATATTATGGGGACATAGCAGAAAAAGGATGTCGCTAGGACATATTTGCTCTGTGGTTAAGTGGAAATAGGAAAAAAAAACCCATGCACATTAACATCATAAAGTCATTTACATTACTAATAGACGCCACTGAAAAAGGTACATTTGCTAATGCTACCACTAGCCATCTAGAAAAATTCTGGAGTCCTAAACACCATGGTTCTTTTGCACATAGTTATATTTGCCACATCAGTATTCTGTTTGATACTTTTCTCCCTTGAGAGAAAGTATTTGAGCAACATTGGATCTAGTACTTTCTCAAGGAGTTCTACTTACCAGTAACTTGCGGATAAAACTAGAAATTTCCAGTCCCAATTTCATAACATTTTCCACTGCAGTAGGATAGGCTGCTGTGGCTCCCTGAACCCAATCTACAGCAATCACATTGACTTTGGCTACTTCTAGGAAGGCTTGAATCAGTGCATTTATCCATGACGGTTTGGTGCCTAGTGCCCTAAAGAGAAATACAAGCAAGATAATTTGTGAGGGCATCTCCATTTAAAAAGAAAGGGTGAAGCCTAATCTGGAAGGTTTAATATCTAACAAATAATGAAACCCTCAATATACAATATACAGCTAATGGCTGAAGATATCATTCATAGCAGATATCTCAGCTTCCTGGAAATGTTAGTTCTTTTTCAAAATTTGGCTTATTCAACAGCATGTTCCTAACCAAGATTTGTCTCTTTACCAGATAATAATGAAGCCATATGCTGCATACAGAGATTTGTCTACTGCAGTATACAGAAGTCAAAAGTCACACCTGTGCCTAGGATTAAGATTCTAGCATTTTTCCTTCCTCTTTCATTATTCAGTGAATACCTTGCTATTCTCTTGATTGCCTTGGAAGGCACCTGTGTGCCTTGTGTTGACATAAAAGTTCTCTCTAGCCTAGGAACCACTGGCTCCTTCCTTATTACATTTCATTCATCTCTTGCAGAATATCCCTTTTCTATATTCTTCTTTTCTTCCTCTTATGGTTCTGGAAGTGTTAGGTGTTCCTCCTTCCATTTCTAGTTTTTCCATCAGTCAGAATTTCCATTATTTCATGCATCTGTATCCATCGTTCCTTCTGTCACTTATCAGCAGGAAATGTAAATGTTTTAATCTCTTCTACTTTTTTGTGAGGAACTCTCGCCATTCCAGAACTCTCCCACCATCTTCAGATGTAGCAATTTCTGCTTCTCATTAGTTATACAAAATTCTCCCTCCCTGTCCATAAACATGTCAGAACTGCTGACAGGTGAGTGGGAACTGCAGTTGAAGAAGATGAGCTGCATGAATACCATCTGGTAATTCCCCAAAATGGCCAGTAATTGGGTATCTCTTTCAGCAAATGAAATATTTCAGCCTGCCTCTCTTGCATTGAGTCCAAAATATCTTCCAATTCAGATTCTTCTTCATAGAATGTGGGAGGTTTGAGAAGAGATGTGCAAAAGATAAGGGGGTGGGAGCTTCCAGGACCCAAAGAGAATGATGGAAAATTAGATATGCTTTCAGTGTGAGGGTAAGCTGCAGGCAAAAGATCACAAGAATGACATGTGTTGTTACAAAGAATGGCCCAACTAGCTGGGCATATAATTTCTTAGAAAGGCATGTAGAAGGGAGAAATTGGAAAGAAAACAAGATGTGAATTCCAACAGGGATGGGGATGGGGGGAATTCCCTTCCTGACAATGACATTTAGTATAAGTATATGCCAATTTGTACACTGCCACTCTAGCTAGCGGTGCAATGCAAGGACAATGGAGTCAGCATGAGCCAGTTCTTAAGCATTTAGCAGCACACTGACTTTGGAGAGTGTCATTAATGATCAATTCAGTGGCTCTATTCTCTTATGTATGTACAGTATATTAATAGATATTCTTTAATAGATTATACAGATTACTTTTCATTGTTAAAGCAATCCCAATTATCAATCCATTACTTAGTCCCATAATGTCAGCCCTTCAAGGTAATCCAGACAAACCATGAATATTAACAGTACCTTTATTGTAAAGCACTTCTCCTCTCCTTCTCAGTTACTTTCCATAAAACTAGGGAGGGACCCTTCTGAGATGTTTCTCATGCCCCTTTTGTCTTCTGTGGCCTGAGATACCTTTTGCATGACAGTTGCCTAGGCTGCTGCTCTGCCTCCTCTCTTCCAACATCATCCCCACATACCATTACACATAATGTAGAGGGCATATGTTCAGTTTTGAATATTTGTACCTGAAACCATGAATGATTATTTTAGTTCCCAAGCTGGCATTGAATCCAACCTCCTGGATGTCCTCCTGTTGTGAAAGCAGCCGTCCACAGCTGGGATTGGAAAAGGGAAACAGAAGAAATCGAACTTGGAGATTTGTACCCCATAGTAAATGTGCAGATTGGAACTCAGCACATTCTTGATTTTTCATAATATTTTTAGACTCTGAAATGTAACAATAACAATAATAAACATTAATAATAATGTTAATGTGTCAACATTAGGAGAGGCATTAGGAAAGGCAGGGAAAGTCATTTAAATCCTTATTATTTGTCACTGCTATGATCCCACTTTCAGTGATTTTGAAGAAAACAAATCTTGACTATCAAACAGCAAAAAAATGCTAATAAAATCTCACATGTGCTATATTTGGATGATCAGAAGCTTTATGGAAAATCAGAAGTGAAACCAGTCATTGACAAACACTGTCAGAATTTTTAGCACAGATATAGCAATGGAATTTGACCTAGAGAAATGTATTACAGTCAGGGCCAGATTTAGATGAAAAGAGGCCCTAGGCTATTCCACTTATGAGGCCCTTTCACCTATAGTGAAAGTGTAATTTTAATTTTGCTAACAATTTGAATGTAGGCCCCTCTTGATCTTGAGGCCCTAGGCTGAAGCCTGGTTAGCCTATAGGAAAATCCGGCCCTGATTACAGTAGTAATAAATTGGGGTAAATGGAACTGAAATACTGAATGGCCAAACATTAGAAACCATCAGGATGAAGCCTACAAGTATCTGGGCATTTTACAGTTGGATAACATCTGAGCATGGACAAGTTAAAAGAGGGATTAGTAAGGAATACATCCAAAGAGTGAAAGAACTGCTAAAGACTAAGTTGAACAAGGGAAATGCAATCAAAGCTGGGCCATATCTATGATATGATATATTGCTGGATTATTAACTGAACACAAGCTGAACTGGATAGTTCGGAGCAAAAAAAGAAGAAAACCAATGACTATCACTATGAATTATATCCCTATAGTCAGTGATATTGATAGATTATACATGCCCTGCAGAAAGACAGACAGAGGTTTACTTCAAATCACACAAACTGTGGAAGAAGAAAAGCATGCATTGGCTGATTATTTAAAGGACAGCCAAAAACAAGGATTAGACTCATAGAGTTGAATGGGCCATTTAGCATATCAAATCTAAGTCCCTACTCAGTGAAGGAATTCAAATTAAAGTAACCCCAACAATTTAACCTCCACAGGAAAACATTTAGTGATGAGGCACCCACAAATTCTTTGGGCAAATTGGTTCTTCTGTCAACATTATTGAACATTCTCAGTTCCTTCTTTCTCTTCTCACAGGACTTAGTTTCTATTCTTGATCATCTTTATTATGCTTCTCTGTTTTTATAAAAGTTTATCTCTAGTTTATTTGTTCTACAAAGGCCAAAAAAGAAAAAAGAAAGAAGCTGTTTTCCACTTAATCAAGCATGATAGACTGAAGAATAATGAAAAGGTAAAGTTATCAGGGTAATTCCTAAAACTGTAACCTTCGAAATTAAGTTAACATCTAAAACTTCCTTTCCTGAGATCCTCGATTTTTTAAATACAATTGTTCAGATCCTCACATGAATCCAGCTTTTACTGAGTGAATAATTTCTAAGCTCCGATGGCTGTCTAAATACTAACATTCACATTTAGAGTACTGAAAGTAATCTTATAATTGAAACATTTAATGCTTCTTTCCCAAGTGGGTAACTGCATTCATGGCTACCAACCCTTAGTAGTCTCAGGAAAATTACCTTTGTTCATCAGCATCTGATGAACTGAGCCACAACAGATGGCATGGTATGTATGCATACATGTGTATGTAGAATGAATGAATGATCCTCAAAAGTAAATTGACATGTTTATCTTTTACCAACTAGTATCCTCAATGTAAGTGCAGAAAGCTACTAATTCAAATCTTTGTAAGACTGGTTTAAATGTTTAAAAGATACCCTCCTTCATAAGTTCACAAATATTCTGCATCTAATTTGTTCTCATGAATATGAAACCTATCACTGTTACTTGGATCTGTTTCTGTTTTATTATTTGAGAGAAAAGTTTTAAAGGTTACCTGTTGTTACCATAAAATTAAAATTGAGAGAAAATAATATTCATTTTCGTTTGTTTCGATCCCGTTATTAAAAAGAGAATCTAATCCATATAGCTAATAGCCCCCAAATATTGTTCCTTTTGTATACATTTCCCCCTGCCACAATGTGTCCTGCAAATTATAATATTCTGAATTTTGCTCTCCCAAATGTCTCACGGTCCTCTATGAAGAATTTTGCAAAAAGTGTGTGCATAGCTTGTACTGTATGTGTGATGGAGTGTTATCTAAACTTCATCCACTTTACAGAATTTGGAATTTCTTGTCTAATCCCTTTTTGTTTTTGACACCCTATTGTCAATAAAAGTGGCCACCTCACTGGTAAAGGCAAGCTTTTAAGAAAAGACATTTGATACATTCATTGTCAGGAGTCCATTTTCTTGTGTCCTTCCATTGCAAAAGCTTTCCACTGATTTCTGCTTCTTTCTAGGTACGGCTCTATAACAACCCTATTATCCAATAGTTATTACATTTGTTCAGGACTGTAGTGAGCAACTTCCCCAAAACTATTTGAAATGTAGTACAGTAGTTACTTTTATCAAAGCAATGTTTATTCTTCTTCAGCCAGACTTGCTTTAACATGGTTGATAATCTTTTCATTTAAGCTTTTCACCAATTTACCCAAATAGATATTAAATTTGAAATTGCGCAGAGCTTTTTATAATTTTGTTTAAAACATGATGCTTGCCTTCTGAATAACTTGACCCTTCACTTAACTATCACCCCTAATTTCCTTACCTGCAAAGGTGAAAAGCAGTTGTACCATGAGTACTAAGGCCAGCCATCTTCTGAGATTCATATTCATCCTTCCTGCAAGATTTTTCAGTGGATGATAAAATCCAAAGTAGATGAAACAGTGTGTGAATTCCAGCCCTTCTTCTTGTTTATTTTTTAAAAACTTGGTCAATTATTCAGATGCCCCGAGACTTTGGGATGAGAGAAGAATTGGGATGTTCATCTCTCTTTCTTTGCTTGCAATACCATTTGTGGAAAGTGAATGTATTCAATTGCAGGAATATCCTAGGAGGAGGAGTTACAAGCCCTGTTTTCTGTTTTGTTTTCAAAAATCGCTTCTTTTCAATAGCTCTCTGTTTAGTTTGCTGGACAAACACTGATGAATCCAAGCCTCATAACCATCTGGGCAAAGTATCAAAGTACTATTTACCATCTCCTCTTCAAAGACAGGGATATCTGGCAACTGATTGGAGATCTGAAACCAAGGTTATGGATTTAGGTCAGTTGGTGTAAAGAATGTTGTCTGGAGTACACAGTTCTACTGCATTCCCTTTGTAGCTGCTAGAGTAGAAGAGACCAATGGGGAAGGGGAATTTGTTTTTTGGAGTTTGGGGGAAGGTTAAGACACAAGATAGGTATTTTAAGCCTTGTAGGTCTTGGATGCTTTGAATGGTGGGTATAATTAACAATTGATACAGATAATTACTGTACATTCATCACCCATTTCAATAGGACATTATTTGTTCCTTCATTGATTATTATGATTTATATCCCACCTTTATATCCATAGGATCGCTTAAGAATTGAAATAAAAATAATAAAACGGTGCCTTCAAAGTCATGTCAAGGTGGTTCAGGCTGGCTCAACAGTACTAACTGTGAGAGGGATCTAGGTGTTCTAACAGACCGCAGCGTAATTACAGTATTAGCTAGCAGTGTGCTGCAACTGCCAAAAAGGCCAGAGCAATCCTAGGCTGCATCAACAGATTTATTATCTGTAAGTCGCTTAAAGTTGCTGTGAGCGAGTAGGTGGCTTTATAAATTATTTAAAACAAACAAATAAACAGCATCAAGATCACAAGAAGTGATAATACTGCTTTATAGTGATAATACTGCTTTATAGTCTGACCTCACTAGTGAGGTCAGACTTGGAATACTGCTTTTGATCACCACAATACAAAAAAGATGAGCCCCTAGAAAGAGTGCAGAGAAGTGCAACAAAGATGATGAGGGGTCGAGAGGCTACATTGTATGATGAATGATTGTGGAACTAGATGTGTCTTGCCTACCAAAGACGATTAGAGAGGACATGATAGGTGTCTTCCAATACTTGAAGGGCTGTCACAGAGAAAAGAGGGTTGAGTTATTCTCCAAAGCACTTGAGAGCAGGAGAAGAAGCAATGGGTGGAAGCTCATTAAAGAGAGCTCAAAGAAGTAAGGAGAAATTTTCTGAGTGAGAACAATTCATCAGTCAATTAGTTTGGCTACTGGGTTGTGGGTGCTCCATTCACTAGAGGTTTTCAAGAATACACCAGACAACCATTTGACCAAGATGGTATAAGGCCGTGATGGCGAACCTATGGCACATGTGCCGGAAGTGGCACGCAGAACCATTTCTCTGGGTATGTGAGCCATTGCCTGTTGCTCTTCTGTGTTCAGGCATGCCAGCCAGCTGGTTTTCCTGCATATGCATGCGCACCGGCCACTTGATCTTCCAGTTTCTGGTGTGCATGCGGGCATGAAGACCAGCTGGCCAGTGCGCATGCACACACCGGAAACCAGAAGATAATCTTCCCTGTGCACACATGTACATTGGGTGCCTGCTCTTCTGGTTTCTGGCATGTTTCCTGTTTCAGCACTCAGTGCCGAAAAGGTTCACCAACACTGGTAGTATAAGGTCTCCTGCCTTGAAGACCTCTGTGATCCCTTTGAGCCCTATGAGTCTGTGCTTTAATTATTTCAAGTGGCCTGTGGCCTACTGTATTCACAACAAGAGGAGTGAAGGTTGTCCTGCTGCAGTTTGGGAGAAAACCTCTTCTATCACCCTGGTCTTCTTCATCTACTGCAGGGGCAGGGCAAATTTATCTAAAGCTGCTTCATCTTCTGTGGAAAAGAAAGCTATTCCTCAGAATATGTCACATTCAAAATAATACTCACTTGGCTGACCAGTTTGCATTGTCCGTGTTGGGATTTTCCCATTTTGTCTTCTTTGTTAGGAACAAACATGAAAATAGGAAGATGTGTCATGTAGAATTGGAGAAACAGAAGTAAGGGAGGAAAGCTTTCTTCCTTTTCAGTAAAACTCAGTAGTGGTGATCACTACCTCTTTTATTTAGTGATCACCAGGACTGTATATTTACTGGCTATCTCTCCTCATGGCACAGAGCCAAGATATTTGAAAGCCCCTGTCTCCAATGGTCTCTGCCCACCCAACAAGACCATATAGGTTCTGAGTCCTTCCTATTAAACTGCCACCTTGTGGGACCCAGGAAATGTGCCTTCTCTGTCACTGTGTCTGACCTGCAATTGGGATAGTCTTGATCCTGCTGGGCTTTAAAAAGACTCTGAACCCTGGGCTCGATCAGTGTGGGTTCTATGCATTATTGTACTTGGAGCTATAGGTGTTATAATGATAGGTTTTGTTTCTACTGGTTTGTTGGATTGGTACTACTGAGGTCTTCTTTGCATGCACTTAATGTTGTTAAATTAATCATTCATTATACATTGACTGAGTAAGCAAGGGGAGAGGAGAGGAGCAACGGCTGGTACGCGGCTCATTGCTGCGGGTTTTTGAAAACGTCATACCATCCGGCAGATTGAGACGAGATGACAGACCGGACAGATCGCTTTTCGAGCAGGTTGGGGCTGCTCTCCGCTAATCTTCGCTCTCTACTCTGGTACAGAGGACTGGCAAGGTTGAAAGAGGCGCCGTCACAGAAGAAAGTATAAAGGATTAATCTGAAAAAATTCCTGGACGATCGGGCAAAGAGGAATAGATGACTAACTTCTTTCGTCACTTCACCCATTTTCGCTTTCGACATTCAGAATTCAATTCCGAATATGACCATCTGGAAACGTCTCCTGTGGCCTCTCCTGTGGGCAGCAGCCACGCTCTGTGTTGCGAAAGGTAAGGAGAGGCCCCCCCTTTCTCGCCCCCTCCCCCCTTCCGCGCCGTTATTCTTCGCCTCCGGGCTCCGATCTTGGCTTGGCTGGCCTTCTTACAAACGAGCCGCTCCATTACCGAAGCGGTTGTTTGATAAGGGTCCCGTCCCTATAGACGATCTAGGTCGCCTCCTCGGATGCCAGGCAAACTTTTAAGCAAAAAGACGACAAATGTGTTGTTGGGATTTTATGATGCACCTGAGACGCCAAGTCGCTCTCTGCCACTCTACGGCTACCATTGGCGACAGGGCAAACTTTTGAGTCCTTCCGTTTCCCGAGGACTAAAAAGTTTCCAAAGATCAAATCCGGAGGGCCCTAACTCTACCACTTATAACGCTCTCCCCACAGCAGTTCGGGAGGGCCGATAACAAAAAAAAAGTCCCATATGAGCTAAGAATGACAAGAGGCCATTGAAACCACAGCTCATGTTCTTTTACATTGTTACCTGGTAAAAATCCGGGAAATTCTGATCTCTTTTATGTACAGCGGTTACTATCAGATCAATAGGATACAGTTTCTTTGAATGTAGCTGAATTCTGCTTTATTGTCTGTAAAATTAGGCAGACTTGGCCACTGTTATTCCGTTATTCTATTATCTCAGCACTAACTACACCTTACTTGTTCTGCTTGTTCTGCTTTGATTTATTTTATTTCAGTGTTTTAATTTTTAATTTTGGTCTGTGCCGTAAAAAAAATATTGAAAAACCAAGCGTCCATTTTCTCCTCATGACCCTCCGAGCAAGGGAGGGGACAGGAAAAGAAGGAAACGGCGAGAGTTCAGGGTTGCGACTTCGCTGCGAGTGGCTTGTTTTTTATTTGTTGAAACTTCCGCTGGAAACGCTTCTGGGTGGTGTTAATAGCACTCACCGTTAATGTAGTTATCGTTTATTTACTTTTCATGACATTTGTATTTATTTATTTTATTTTGAATTTTGAATTTGTATACCGCCATTCTCCCTGAGGACTCAGGGAGTACCCTAAACTATCCACATTGGCTTGATTCACCCCATCCTTCAGGTTAAAAGGCTAGTTTGTGAGACGGGTAGAAATCCACTTTATCCTTAGCTGCCCTGGTCCTGCTTTCTTTTCCCGATTTTATCGGAATAACAGCCGCAGCCATAGCGTGGCGGCAGAAATAAGTTATTGATTGAAGGCTACCCAGTGAGCTTCGGGACTGGAGGATTTAGAGCAAGCATAATGGACTTTCTCTGGGCAATTTAGATAACAGAAACCACGTTGGATCACACCATGTCCAACCAAATGCATTTGGTAAGCTCCAGAAAGCAATAACCCTCTTCCCATCATTGGGTAAAGGGTTTCAGGGTTTAGTGACCTTAATCTAAACAACAGAGTTTATTTATTTATTTATTAAATTTGTATACCGCCCTTCTCCTTTCGGACTCAGGGCGGTGAACAGCCAAAATAAAAACATTTGTACACAAAAGTTAAAATAATTATTAAAACTAATTAAATGAAATTTGGCCCATAATTTAAAACATATCAATTAAAATCAATATCAAACGTTAAAACCAACATGGAATCAGGCCAGCCTGGCTAGCTGAAAAAAGTAAGTTTTTAGGGCCCGACGAAAAGTCCGGAGGTCTGAGATCACTTGTATCTCTGGAGGTAGATCGTTCCAGAGGGTAGATGCCACCACAAAGAAGGCTCTCCCCCTGGGGGTCGCCAGCCGACATTGTCTGGCTGACGGCACCCTGAGGAGGCCCTCTCTGTGGGAGTGAACCAGCCAGTGGGAGGCAATTGGTGGCAAAAGGCGGCCCCATAAGTACCCTGGCCCTAAGCCATGGAGCGCTTTAAAGGTGGTCACCAACACCTTGACGCGCACCTGGAAGTCCACTGGAAGCCAATGCAGCTCGCGCAGGAGAGGTGTCACGTGGGAGCGCCCTGTCGCTCCCATAATCCCCCGCGTGGCTGCATTTTGCACCAGTTGGAGCCTCCAGGTGCACCCCAAAGGGAGCCCCATGTAGAGAGTGTTACAATAGTCCAGACAAGAAGTGACGAGTGCTTGAGTGACCGTGCGTAAGGAGTCCCGATCTAGAAAGGGGCGCAACTGGCGTATCAGGCGAACCTGATAGAAAGCCCCCCTGGCCACGGCTGTCGTATGCTCTTCCAAAGACAGCCGTGCATCCAGGAGGATGCCCAAGTTGCAGGCCCTCTCCATGGGGGCCAATGATTCACCCCCAATAACCAGTGATGGCACCAGCTGGCTATACCGGGACGCCGGCAGCCACAGCCACTAGGTCTTGGAAGGGTTGAGTCGAAGCCTGTTTCTCCCCATCCAGACCCGCAGTGAAACAGTGAGTTGGCAGTGAAACATCAGAAAATCTGTGTCTAGGCTCTAGAGCAAAGTCACTAAACCTTGAAACTCAACCCTGCCCAATACATACTTACTAACCCTGAAAGCCTAAACTTACAATATTCCTCTTTCTCCTATTGTCCCCCTCCAATAACTGAAGTTTAAGGCATACTACTTTGGATGATTTGACATTATTTTCATATTTATATTCTGCCTTTCACTCAGAAATATTCATAGCACTCCCTACTCCTATCTTTCCCTACAGCCACTCAGGTAGGTTGGGGTAAGAGACAGTGGCAAACACAAAATCCCTCACACTAGTTCTGCCATTTTATGTTTAATGCCATTTTATGTTTAAAAATCAACTGAAAGAAAACGGTCTGGGTGAGTATACACTTATAAAGTGCATTTTTACTGAAGGGAAAATGGGAACATCCCTTCCAAATTGGCTTTCATTAAGAAGAACTTCACATTTTAGCTGCAATAAAAATGATTTTAAAAAATTTTATGATAGAAACTTTGTTCAGTTGCTGGTATACAAAGGTTGGATTTATTTAAATCAAAGTAACTTAACTGATGTGTAACATAATCAAATAACAAAAAAAAGTTCCATTTTCTGATGCATGTCAAGTGGCATTTATAATTTTGTTAATTTATTACTTATTTATTTATATCCTGCCTTTATTATTTTTATAAATAATAATCCAAATATAAGACTGCAGTTAACTATAACTATTATGCTTAAAGGACATAATTAAAAAGTTGACTTCCATATGTTTTATCTATTATTAAAGGTAAATTGTAAATTAAGAATATCTGATAATTTCTGCTTTAAAACACTAAATTAGATTACTTGCTTGAAAATTAATTGCCTAGGAGAGGGGAATCAACACTTCCTTTCTGAAGTTTCAGGTTGTTTATAAGCCCACAAATACTGATTATATGAAAATAATTTAATTAACATTACTTTAACTAATAGTATTATTAATAATAAGAAAACAGTACTAATAGAAAATAGATAAATTTCACCTTCAGGATTAGGGACTGGTATAGAATTCTATAGAGATCTCAAAAGGATAATTGAGCCCAGTTGACCTTCCATCATTCATCAACACCAGTAGTGGGTTTCAATTTTGGCCGTTACCGGTTCACTCGTGGGCGCTTGTGTGCTTGTGCAATGCTGTCCAGGTGGGTGGATGGAGCCTCTCGCCATTGCTTGATCCAGGGTGAACCAGTAGCAACCCACCACTGATCAACACCCTTTTGATCCCCAACCATCTGTCAATTCACACCTTTGGATAACCCCAATGGCTTTTGATGGTCAGTACTGACCACTTTGCAGAACCCAACTAGAACTTAGAAGCAAGGACTTGACTCACTAAGCAGAACACTTCCTAAGACTTTAACACTGGTGCCAATTGGTTTAGATGAATTGAGTTCAATTTTTTCTAGCACATTCTCCATTTTCTTCCTCACCCAGAATTCATCATTTACAAGATTTGCATTTACAGCATTTGAGAGGTGGGACTTCCCCAAACTGCTCCAAATTGCTGCCTTGGTTTCAAGCTACTGCTAGAATAATGTTTATGTGTTGTAACTACAGGCTGGTTTTTCTGATTTATTTAACCTGTTATGACAATTCTTTAAACTGGAAAATTTGGAGATTATTTCAGATGCTTTTAATTGGTTTAGTAGTACAGGTATTGCTGTAATATGAAGAAAAAGGTTTTCCAAAAGAGAGAAAGTAAACGTCTACAACATATCTTTTCAGTTCAATACATGGATTATATGGGATATACTAGTACTATACTAAACTAGTATTCCCACTAATATTAGTAGGTTAGGAATGAATCAGAATAATGTTCCTGGGTCAGCAGAAAGAGGAAAGAGGGTAGAAAGTTGTTACAAGAATTAGTCCAAGATGTAAAATTTGGAAAATGGGGAAGTGAAAGTGTATGTGTGGGTGGGCCATCTTCTTCAGATGCTAGTCCAGTCCCTAGTGAAGTTTCTTGCCATATAAGGATTCCTAAGTCAGCAAAGGAGGAAAATAGAACACCTTCTTGGAAAGCAGAAGTAGTATGCTGGGAGTTTCCAAGTGTGGTAGAAATCCCAGAAGAGGAAGTGAAACTTCAAGGAAGAAGCAGAGAGAGGCTTACAGTAAAAAACTCTTAAGGGAGTGAGAAATTCCTGAAAGAGAACAGGGGAGTTAAAAGCCATAGTAGACAAACCTGTGTGTGTGGGATCCTTAGTGCTCTCTGAGCTTGGTTGTTTTGTTGCAGATATTTCATTTCCCAACTAAGTAACATCATCAATGAAATCATCTAACAGTGATGATGCTACCTATTTACTGTATTTTTCAGAGTATAAGACACACTTTCCCCCCCCAAAAGAGGGTGAAAATTTGGGTGTGTCTTATACACCGAATATAGCCCTGCCTACCCACTGGCCCCCACCCTTTGGCCTCTGTCTCCCAGCAATTTGCCTCCTTGCAGCAAACAGCAAACAGCCCATTTCAGCTTCAGCACAGCCTGATTAGCACAAGCAGCTGATTGTTGGTTGGATCAGCCTCCCAACTATCAGCTGTTTCAGTCTGCAGGGATTGCCATTGCCTATTGCTGCCTCCGCGGGCCTCCGCTGTTTGCTGTTTGCTG